TGGTTCGATTCCTGGTCAGGGCACGTGCCTGGATTGCAGGCTCGATCCCCCAGCAGGGGGCGTGCAGGAGGCAGCTGATCGATGTTTCTCTCTCACATCGATGTTTCGATCTCTCCCCCCTCCTCTCTCTATAAAATCAATAAAAACATATTTTTAAGAAAAGAACTGATTAAACATACTTTCATCTTTCCTTCATGTCAGGCTCTTGCACTGATTTCCCAAGGTGATGATTCAGAACATCTATACTACTGTAATATTGAGTTTAAGGGTATGGTCAATGAAGAGTTGCAGGATGAATGTCTGGTAAGTCTGGAGAAGCCGTCTTGTTGGCTTTGTCTTCACAGCTGGGGGTTCCTGGTAAACTTGATTTTCGAAGCAGAAGCTTTAAACAGAGGCCACCGCCCGGGACCTACCTGCACCATGGAGTCGCTGGCCTCCAGCCAACCTGCCGGCATACCCCAGGCCAAAGGTGGGAGCAGCTGGCCGGGGTGGGATGCGAACCCCAAACTCTCTGTGACCCCACCCCACCCTGTCCCCGACCTGGATACTACCCCTGCCGACTCCGGGTTCAGCCTGGGACCTCATCGGCACCCCCGATGTAGGCCTTCAGACTAGGATGGCCTTCTGATCACCCCTCTCCAGGTCAGGGACTTCACTCTGACCTCATTTAGGCCAGAACTGCACCCTGGCCAGGAACCCTCCCAATCTTGGTCCCTCAGCTAAACCCAGCTGGGGTTCACGCAGAGCCTGCACTCAGCCCCCCGACTGACTCTCCATTGGTGCCCCAGCGTGCTCCTCTGCTGGGGACCTCACTATAACTGCTTCACTCCCTCCCCACCCCCACCCTGTGGGGTGCCCTGGCTATGCTCCAGCCCAGAACGCCCCGTCCTCTCCTCGTCACCCCTGTAGGCCCCACTGTGCCCCATCCCTGGCCCCCTTGCACCCTGTCCTGCACCCTTGTCCCCTGGGAACCTCTCTTGGCTATCCACCATTCCCTAACCCACTCCCACCCCAAAATGAATAAACATACAGATGTACCCTCTGTTCCTACGAAGCCAGGTGGAGGGCGCTGGTCTCCTTCAGAGGGACTGACAGGGCCTCCAAGAATGTCGAAGCCATCACACCGCCCCGAAGTTCCCGTCCGCCATCCTGCCCTTCCGGATCATTTCACTGGCACAGGGAGAAAACAGTGAAGACAAACAAAAGCAAAGCTCTTGAACGACAACAGAGAGAGCTGGAGGCACCAACTCATTATTCTGAAAATTATGAAGAGAAAGAATGAAGTTACGAAAAATTCTCTTCCCTAGAGGAACTTTAATTTAGGGCACTTTAATAGACTGAATGGATGAGGGGAACGCTTCTATACAAAACCATTCTGGCCAATCAACACAGAAGAACATTTTCAAATTACATTCTGCAACTTCTAATTCATTGAGTCAGACAACAGCCAGATGGATGTTTAACTGGACCTTATAATAAAGGGTTAGGACGTCACCCTTTACCCACGGATCAATCTCAGCAGCATGAAAGGCGAGGCAGCCAGACGCTGCGTGGCATCGGGTGGACGTGCAGTGAGCCACGTATGAGACGTGGCTACAAAAAGAGAAACAGGCAGCAGCTCCGGACTCAGGCAAGCGTTGCTCTCTAAGGCCCAGTCCGTAGGAAAAGGGGGAGGCAGAGAAACAAGTTCAATGACACCCTGGGGAGCCATCCGCCCACACCAGAAGGTGGAACATCTTACAAGGCAGGTGCCTCCGTTTCTTTACACGGCAATGATACGGGATGAAAGGGGCAGGGGACAGTCCTACAGTAAATGAAACTTAAAAAAAGACTGAGGAGATACAAATATAATGATGGACCTTGTTTGAAGGCTGATTCCAACAACCCAACTGTAAAACGACTACTTAGTCAATCAGGAGAATGGACTCTAATGTAGATCCGACCACCATAAGGAAGTATTGGAAATTTATTAAGAATGCATTGTGGTTACGTTTTTGAAAGCCCTTTGAATTGTGGGTGACAGCATGTGAGAGGGAGTAGGTGTGGGTACAGACTGTGTAAACGGTAAAGGATTAATGGTGACGGAAGCAGGGTACAGCGTGTAAGTGGGTTAGTCTCTACTTTTCTGTCTGTTTGAAAATTTTCACCATGAAAAATAAAATGCAATAAAGGATGGCGGTCCGCGTGGAGAACACGGTCGGTGCAGCCTGAGAATGAACACCTCTGCTAAAAACCACGGGCCATCACAGAGCTCCTCCTGTCCCGTGTTTAAATACTTCAGTATTTCACCTTGAATACAGGGCTTCTTTCTTCTATTACATGTGGTGTTGGGGGTTCAGTCCTTTCTTGAGACAACGATGGTTGATTATCACCCACCACCAAACATTTTTCAAACTGGAATTCTCCGATCAGATGAGCTGAAGCTAAAAACAGACCAGCTTTGTCCCCACATCCTCAGCTTCCACTAGAAAAGGCCACGCCCTCCAGAAGCAGTGGTGACAGCAGCTGGTGTTCCTTCTGTTTTAAGTGCGTTTCACCTCCCCCCCCAATTCCCTTATCACTGAATGGGCACCTCCCGGGCTGGGGAGACGACCCGACTTTACTCAGCGGACAGGGCTGTCTATGCGGAAAGCTCGGGCCTGCCACAGCGCCGCGTCCACAGGCCTGCCACAGCGCCGCGTCCACGGACCTGCCACAGCGCCGCGTCCACGGGCCTGCCACAGCGCCGCGTCCACGGGCCTGCCACAGCCCCACGGGTGGACGCCGGCCAGCGCGGCCATCATCACCGGGAAAGCGCTTCCTGGATTTGTTGATTATACAAACATTGATATGTCCTCCAAACTCAGCTCACACAACACTATCCGTTCAGGATGATGGGAATGCACTCCCAAGCAAGAAAAACACAGAACCGTCGTCGTATAATGAGTGTGAAACCACTGCAGCCTCACTCCTGCAGGAAGCCCCTCCCCCCGCTGCTTCCTCCCTCCCTGTAATTGCCTCCACCGTGGCTCTGGTCCACCTTGTAGCTTTTATTTTTTTATCATGAAAATATCCAGAAATATCTAAAAGTAGAGTAAAATGAGGTTCCCACACACCTTTAAAAATGATCAACATTTGCCCTGGCCAGTTTGGCTCAGCGGTTGGAGCATCAGCCTGTGGACCAGAGAGACCCGGGTTCGGTTCCCACTAAGGGCATGTACTTCGGTTGCAGTTTGTCCCCACCCCGATTGGGGTTGTGCGGGTGGCAGCCAGTCGATGTGTCTCTCTCACATCGATGTTTCTCTCTCTCTCTCTCTTTTGTCCCTCCCACTCTATCTGAAGATAAATGTCAAAATGTCCTCGGGTAAGGATTAAAAAAAAAAAAATCAACATTTTCCAAATCTTGTTTTACACATTTCTTCCCAACTGTTTTTTTTCCACATCTGCAATTGAAAGCAGATCCCAGACATCCCATCAATCTACCCACCTTATGCCCGCTTCTGGGGCGCTGATCACACTGCACGGAGCTCGTTTACCTCGCGGTTCTCCAGCGGACCCGGGTCCTCAAGAACGGGGTTCCCGCATGGCTTTCGCAACCAGCGCTGGAACTGGTCATGGGAGGCACTCGAGAAACTCCAGCTTCTGTCGGACAACTGCACGATGGCCCGCCCAGAAGTGCGTGGCCAGGCCCCTCCTGGGGCCCTGACCCTCTGAAACCACCAGAGTGTTTTCGGCCATTGAGGATCGAGATGACCTGTCTCGCAGCAATAGCCAGAACGTGAGGCAAGTCACGTAACCTCTCCGTGCCTCAGTTTCCACATCTTTAAAACGGGGATAATGACAGCACCTACCTCACACTGGGCTTTACCAGTGTTACATGAGGTAAGAACATACCCAACTGGCCCACTGTGACACTCCATAAATGTCGGTGACCATCACCTGGGAGACAGTTTAGAAATCCCGAGCAACCCAACAAAGACAGTGTTTACCAGTCCTCCTTTGCCCGGCAAGCTGATCCGGGGTGGGGGTGCATTCCATAAACGAAAAGGCAACTTCAAGGCTGTCGTGAGCTTTGCATTCTTTCGATGCCTGGGGAGAAAGAATGCAGATGTCCCGGCCCATCCTGGGCTTGGTGCGCACCCCGCAATGCAGGTGTGCGTGGCAGCGGACTTCGGTTCCCCTCCCCTCTGGTGAGACAGGCTTCAGAAAGCAGAAACCGCTGGGCCTTGAGACCCCTTCCTCTCTGTTCTCAGTCTCAGTCAACGAGTGAAAGAGAAGGTTTTTCACAAATCTGACCTCTGCAGAGAACCTGAATAGAAGGGAACTGTGAACGTGTCTGCACGGGGCCTATGCTTTGGGCCAGAGAAAGGCACTGCTGGCCTAGATAGGAGGAGGCTGTGGGCTCACCGGGAAGGCGTGAGCATCGCTGGCCAGGAGTGTTTAAACAAACCCACGGCCAGATGGGGTGCACGTGTACGTGGGACCCTGCGTTCGCCCAACCATCTCTGGTCACTGATGTCACACCCAACTGCTTCTGAAAATTAGTCATTACTATTTATCCACTTCAGCATGAAATAACACACTCTACCTCAAAGTCATTTTCACATGAGGAGCCGGGAGACTGGTGCCCTTTCTGGGGTCTCAGGTCAAGAAGGGAGCTTCCGAAAGGCCTGAGCTGGGACTGCACGAGCCCCCCCGCCCCCCGCCCCCCCGAAAGGTTGAGCTTACCTTTGCCATTTGTGTTTCCCTTAGAAGGACTCTGTCTCTCACTGCAGTGAGATGTGGAAATTACGACTCGGCGTTCTGTACAGCTGTTGTTAGGGAGAGGAGCAACTGGACGGCTTTTAACCTTCTGGGTGGAAATGCAATGTGGGCCATGAAAGAAACGACTGGATTAAAACCGAAGTGAAGACTCTTCCCTGCAGGCAGCCCAGCCTCGGCCCGCGCTGGCCGCCAGCCCTCAGGGAGGGCGTCCCGGGCCGAACCAGCACGCGCAGAATAAAGAGAAGACGCACAGCACATGGAGGGAGCACGTTTATTTACACGGCTATTTCCTTTTTACAGCCCCTACACTTTTAAATAACAAACATCCCAGGAAATCAGGTGGGCTTAAGTTATTTAAACAAAGAAAATTTTCACATGATTTTTATTTACACGAAGTCTTAAGGGCCTTAAATGGCTCTTTTTAAACTGCACAGCGTAACAAAAGCTCTTCTTCGGACTCTACGTTTTTCAAAATCTTTTTGTTCAGGGAATTCTGCTGACAATCAGATCCTTGCACCCAGGCCCTCACACGGAGACGTCACAACACAGACAGAAACCCGCGCCGTGCAGGGGCCACTCTGGCTGGGGCGGAACCTATCTGACATGTTTTGATGGTAAGCGAGGGTACGTCTTAGACCGCTTCGATGAAAGCTTTCGGGAAGTTTCCGGATCATGCAATTGCTTGTAAGTTCTTGAGTTTGTGTCCTGAGCACACACTGAGTTTGTGACGATGGACCATCTGCAGTGTAGCCGACCCCGAAGGGGACTCCTGGGGACGAAGGACCTCACCGGGCCAAGCCTGGTACCTCTCCCTCTCCCCGTCCATCCACACCTGGATGCTTACTTTTCCTGACACTACTGCACATGCAAATCACCAACTCTGAAAAGAATTTACTGTTCATAGCATGACTTTCAACAACACTGGTCTGACAGCCTCTCACATTGCAACGGCAGATTTCAAGTATTTATTAGTGAAACTGTCACAGAGGATAGACTTTCTTAATATTTTATGCACGAGTTCCTCTGATAGTTGGTATAACATCCATTAAAAAATAGAAAAGATTAATTTTTGCCATAATCAAAGCTACAGTTCAGAATGAAAAACATATAGACCTCTGTCCGGCGTCTGTGAGGGCAGCCCAGGGCCGTCTTGACGTCATGCAGCGGCAATAGAGGCGTCGTCCACGAGTCGACCCTGCGGCTTTAAGTGGGAACAAAATGGGTTTACAAAACAGAATGGCCACATTGGCTCTATTCATTGAAAAGATTCTGAAATTGTTGGAACTGCTCACAAAAACAGTGCAAACATGTGCAAGTATCAAAATGCCACGTGTAAGCCTTCCACCCCGACTCCTCTGAACTTGGACTGGGGACGGCAACTGCATGTCTCGCCCCATTCCCTCTGACCCCGCTGATCGTGTGCCTCCCCCTGCCGGGCCCCCTCAGTCACTGCGTCTCCCTCAACCTGGTGTTCCAGCAGCAGCTGCCCAGCTATTGCATCCTGCTTAAGTGATAAAAGTTTATTTCTCTCTTGCTCAGGGCATCCGGCGCCTCAAGCTCTGACAGACAGTTCCTAGAGGGTTCAAGGTCTCCCAGTGTCCTGTTTGAGAAAAAGTGATTCACCAAGGACTCTAGGCTACTGACCAACAAACACTGAAGTGTATCAGCAGCAGAGGACGTCAAAAATTCCCCTTCCTAAGGTCACTGACTGAAAAAATATAAACCATCACAGCAGAAGAGTAAAGGCTAAGAAAGAATAAAAGGTATCATAACTGGTGTAAAATTTCTGACAAGTCAGCCACACCCTAAAATCAAGTAGCTAAAAAAGTGATACTTGAAATCATTCTATTTGATCATACAGATGAACGTCAGCAGGCCTCTGGACGGGCAGCGTGAGGGAGACGGTGCTCGGGACTCCAGGAGAGCAGGCCGCATCGCCGCCAAAGCCATCTACCGTGTGCACGCAGAGAGACTCCACGGGATTCCTGCCGTGAACAGGGCACCCTGCTGTCAGTCTGGGTGCTGTGTGGTTGTGTGTATGCAGGCGTGTGCGGCTGTATGCACGCATGTGCGGCTGTATGCACACGTGTGGTTGTATGCACGTGTGTGGTTGTGTGCACGCATGTGCGGTTGTTTGCACACGTGTGGTTGCGTGCACGTGTGGTTGTATGCACGCATGTGCGGTTGTATGCACACGTGTGGTTGTATGCACGCATGTGTGGTTTGTATGCATGGCTGTGCGGTTGTGTGCATGCCTGTGTTGTTGCATGCATGCATGGCTGCACATCTGTATGTTTGCATGCATGTGTAAGTTAGGTCTCTGACATTCAAGGCAGGAACAAAATGAATGAAAGAAGAGGTATCTGGTCTTTAATACTTCATGTACTTTTTAGAACTGATGGAGGATGTTCAGTTTTAGAAATAGAATGAACAGCTCAACCTGGTGGTTAAATCCTACCGAACTCAGCCTTCCAAGCAGGGGCAGCAGACAAGTACATTGTGCAATCAGAAAACCAACATCTTTTCAAAGGAAGGAAAATACTGAGCCAGCCTTGCTCTAGGGCAGCAGTGTCCCCAAGCTCCCTGTGACGTGGCAGAGCTGACTCAGTGCTGTCCAGTCCGGGGCCCACTCGTCCAGGAAGCTACCGAGTGCTTGAAGCGTGGCTGGTGCAACCAAGTAACTCAGTTTAAATTCAATTACATTTTAATTAATTTAATTCAAACCTCAGCAGGTGCAAATGGCTAGTGGCTACTTCTCTGCAACAGCACAGCCAAATGTTTAATGAAGGTGTGAGGGGATGTACAACCCTAGTCAATGATTGTCCGTAAGCAGGAAAAGGTAACCCTCATCCACTGTTCTCGGTGTGACAGCTAAAACAACTTTAACATTTCCGCCAACTGATAAAGGAGCTGGTTCTGAGCCATCCGGGCAATGTCTCTGGCAGCAGTCAAGGTACCTGAAGGTGGTACTTGTATTTGGAGACAAGGTCGAGGCAGTTAGAAAAGGAAATGTTAATTATGTTAAAACGTGTGCGTGTTTAGTTTTCTGAAGCCTTTCCTTATGGATGTAAACACTACCCAATGGAGGCTTCCTGTGAAAGGAGCCCCAGGCCCGGCCCAGCAGCCTGAGAGCCCCCGGGAAGGCAGGACAGAGGTCAGCGGGCGGAACCAGACGCCCGCGTTCTCGAGATGCTCAGTTCTCACGTCCAAACAAGCTATGTTTTCCAGCTGGAACGTGACCACTCTGCGCACTGATGCACGTTTACATCCATAGGCCACACTTCTGAGTTTAGCAGCAGATTTGAGAAGATCAAACAGCTAACAGGATATTACACACCAGCCGTCCCCCAACCCTCTCCCCCCAGTCACGGCTCCTCCCCCACGGGGGCCTCAGCACGAGTGAGGACGACAGTGTCATCAGGTGGAAATGCTGAAAACGCACTGTGGAGGCAGAGGGTCACGTGGGAAATCTCTAGCTCCTCCCAGTTCCGCTGAGAATCTAAAGCAGTTTGAAGCCACTGTTCAAACACCAGAGATCTAAGATCACGAGTCTGGCTTTTTTTGTTTTTTGTTTTTGGTTTTTTTTTTATGGTTTGTTTATTTTGTTTTTACAATTTAAAGTATAGAAGAGGCCAGAAGCTTGGAAGGGTTAATAAAGATGTTTTTGCAGATGAAAAAAAGTGTGTAAGTCTAAAAAAATAAAATAAAAACTAGAAAAAGTATGAAGACTACATGAAAAGAAACTAATTATAATTAACCAAATCCCCGATACCAGAAACAAGGCACAGTTCCCACAAACTTGACAGACGGGGAAAAGAAAACAGCACACAGTGTAACCTGCCAATGCAAAACGGGCACTGACTGAGAAGACAACGAGGGTCCCATCTATCTGTGAATGTCTGGCTCTTGGGGACACCAGAACCGACTGGAGGGACAGCCCCAGGCTGACTGGAAGGAGAAGCTCGAGCTAAATGGACCATCGCTGTGGACAATTCACTCACACCTATGACCAGCTGCATGTGCTCTTACTGCAGGACCTGGAAAGGGTCTCAGGGGAACGAAATCAAGCCCGGTCGGTGTGGCTCAGTGGACTGAGCATTGTCCCGTGGACTGAGAGGTCCCGGTGATTCCCTGTCAGGGCACATGCCCGGGTTGAGGGCTTGATCCCCAGGAGGGGGCGTGCAGGAGGCAGCTGATCTGTGTTTCTCTTTCACATGGATGTTTCTGTCTCCCTCCCTCTCTCTCTAAAAAAATCTATAGAAACAAACAAACAAAAAATTTTTTTAAAAAGAAAAAATCAAAACATTAAACCAGAGTATAGTTCCCAATAGATGGTCATTTTCAGAAAAGACTCAACGGATATAATTTTATTAACCAATGTCACCCCAATGAATTCAATAAAATAAATAAATAAATAAATAAATAAAACAAAAAAAAGGACCCAAATCCAGTATTACACAGTTAAACTGAGAGAACTAGGAAAATTCAACGATCATATTTAAAAAGTTAATTCATTTTGATTAAAAATTAGTTATTAGTTATAAACTATAATTTTAAAACATACTTTACTAAAGCCAAAGAAAAAACATGTTCAAGTGTAAAAATAAATAATTTACCAAAGGGAATAAAAATCTTTGCAATGAGATTCTATAAAAAAAATAACAACTTAGCCTGGCTGGTGTGGCTCAGTGGCTGAGCGTCCACCCAGGCACCAAGAGGTCACAGGTTCAATTCCCAGTCAGGGCACATGCCCAGGTTGTGGGCCCGATCCCCAGTGTGAGGCATGCAGGAGGCGTCCAATCGATGTTCTCTCTCATCGATGTTTCCATCTCTTCCTACCTATCCTTCTTCTCTCTCTAAAATCAGTAAAGAAAAAGAAAAATAATAACTTTATAGAAATGAAGAGCAATATTGCTAAATACATATAATAAAGTCAAAACTATCACTGTTAGTCTCAAATTATTGTTCAGTTATGTTTATATGGAAAAATATGATCTTTTGTTTATTTTCAAGACAGTAAATTTAAAAGGCAGAAATTTTCTAAGCCTTACCTTTACAAAAATACTGGTAGGTATAAAACGCCTGAGCAGTTGGTTTGTGAAGTTAGGAAATCTAAGCAAGTTGATGTTGAGAGATGGCAGCTGTTGGTATCCAGCCATGAGAGGGTAGAAATTGTACAACATTTCCTGTTCGGTGCCAGGTAGTATGCGTAATCGGATCTAAATGATAAAATGTTAAAGATAATCAAATATACAGACTTGTAACATCTATGTTGTAACCCCTAGATTATTTACAAATGATTGGACACCAGATCTTCCTGGTGAAATATTCTCTCTCTCTTATTTCATCTTCCACAGATTCCAAAATGTAGGGCTGAATTAGTAGGAGGCTAGAATCACACAGATAAATACATGTGTAAAAACATGTGCATGATTTCTGCTCTCCCAAGGCAGCTGCTCCAGCTTCAATGAGAAAACTCGATGGAGAAATACGTTCTGGGCCTAGACCAGGAAGAGTCTACAGTCGCAAAATGTCACAGGATGATTTGTAGAAAAGTATCTTTGTAAACATATGTCAACATAAGAAAACTAGCCCGGCTGGTGTGACTTAGTGGTTGAATGTCGACCCCTGCACCAAGATGTCACCAGTTCGATTCCCGGTCAGGGCACATGCCCAAGTTGTTGGCCCGATCCCCAGTAAGGGACATGCAGGAGGCGGCCAATCGATGTTCTCTCTCAATGTTTTTATTTCTCTCTCTCCCTCCCCCTTCTTCTCTAAAATCAATAACGAAAAATATGTTTAAAGAAAAACAAAAATCATAAGACTAACTAGTTGTTTCTAGTATTTTCTTACAGGGATTTTACCTTTGTGGTAAGGTAAATAACTTTAGGGGGAAAAAGATGTTTGGAGATTTTTAACAATACTTTAGAAAAGAACACAAACTGGTTAAGATTTCGGTATCTTACATTATCCAATTATTTATAATATGTGAAAAAGATCGACACTCAAGAAAAGCTTACTTGCCCTGGCCGGTTTGGCTCAGCGGTTAGAGCATCAGCCTGCGGTTCAGACAGACCCAGGTTCGGTTCCCACTAAGGGCATGTACCTAGGTTGCAGTTTGTCCCCGGCCCTGGTTGGGTTGTGAGGGTGGCAACCACTCGATGTGTCCCTTTCACGTCGATGTAGCTCTCTCTCTCTCTTCCTCTCTCTCCCTCCCACTCTATCTGAACAACAACAAAAAAAGCTTACTCATCTGCAAATAAGTACATACAGGTCCATGGCGTGCCACAGATAATATACATGCATGTGTGTACGAACATGCTAGAGCTAAGATTATACTATATGTTTAAATTAGTGCATGAACTTAAGAGTATAATTCATATATTGTTCTATTTTGCATTTGTCAACAAACATAGCACTTATCATATGCACAGCAACAGATGACTAATCAGGGTATATACTTCCATGTATTACGACATGTGTTCCCCTAATTATGTCCGCATTAATATAAAGTATTTACTGACTACAAAATCTCTGAAAAACTTCACTGACAGTGCTGAACAGACTTTTAATACAAGTAGTCATGCCTCCAGGACTCAAACTAAAAGACAAAAAGAAAGACTCACACACAGACAGACATACACATAAACTCATTAGTAAAAAAAGGGAAATCTAAAATTTTCAGGAATTCTATTACATAGTCCAAAAATTTGTAAACTCTTGTTTTATAAGAGAAAGAACCTATATATGTGATCTCAATGTAAAGGTTGGCCCATTTATTCCACCTCTATAACAAGTTGTACTTCATCTAGAAAAGTGAGTAAAAATTCCCTATTATCAAAATAAAAGAGGCCACAGTCAGTCTTATCAGTCCATGTGCACAGCCCCCCATTTCCTGGCCACACTGTGGTGTCTACATCAGCAACCCAGGGAGCTGGGACCGCTACCTGTTTAAGACCCGAGAACATGAAGGCATCACTGGGCTCCACGGCGATCTCCACGTCTTGAACCAAGTCAGTCTTATTCTGCAGGTGATACCTGACAGGCAACGATTCCCTGACCCGTCCAAATGACGGCAGATCTGCAGAGAAAGGTGACACAATGCTCTCTTGGTTAAAACAAATAGCTCGCAAATCATGGGTTATTCTGTAAATGAAGCTCATTCTATAAGACATGTGTTTATTTAAATTACTGGTATTACTGCACTCTTGCTAAATAAGAACATTTTTTGATTGAACAATAGCCACGGGACTATGATAAAACAGGCCAAGAATCAGAGTCTCCTTTAAAAACTGATTGACCCAGAAAGGGTATTGGCTGTCAGGAGTGGAACTGTATTTTAGGAATAATTTTTTAAATCTATGAAAGGTTTCCCTAAGTATCAACCATGGTCCTGAAAGGCATGGCAGACACCACGTGCCTCTTGATGGGAACACATACCATTAACTATGAAGTATTCTTGCCCCAAACTTGAACCTGAACCTGACCATGCCTACAAATGATCTAACTACCAATTTATAGGACAGAGAAACACTTAAAAATAATACACTGCAATTAGCAAAATCCAGACTGCAGCAAACTCTACAGGACAAATGACTCAGTTTCTTCGGTGAGTAAACAGCAAGGAAGAAGGGGCAGTGAAGGGGTGGTGGAGGCGATGGCCAGCGAACGGGGTGGGGGCCTCCTGCCTACAGATTTCAAATATCAACTGCAACGCAGAGACTCAGGACAAACGAAAGAACACTCAGGGTCAACTAGGGAAATTTCAACACTGGAATCTGATAATACTAAAACAATTTTTAAAGTCACAATAATGGTATTATGATTATGTTTAGAAAAATAACCACTAATATTAAAGACACACACTGAAATATTTAGGGATAAATTTATATCTGAATTTGCTTCAAAATAAGGGGGGCAGGAATATATAGAGGTACAGATGAAACACGACTGGTCACAGACCACTTTTGTAAATGTCGGGCATCTTTCATAACATAAAGTCTTTTAAAATCTTAGAAGCTAAAACAAATGTTCTTGGCTTCTTTTTGTCCCGTGAGACCTGAGCACCGTTACCTGCGTTCACGTGCAGAGGAATGTTTTCCACGACCACGTGTGGCAGGGTGATGATGGTGCTGACGACAGGGATGCTGTCCACGGCTGAGGTCCTGCACGGAGAGGGTACCTTGTAAGCACACTTCATGTGCGAAGGTAATACATCAAAACCAGGGACACGCATATTCACCAACTAGTTTTGAGGGAAATATACATGATCCATTTTCGAAAACTGCTTTAATGGAAGTGGTTGTAAGTAGAGCTCTCAGAATCCCATTTTGTTTTAAATAGTTCTTTTTTTTATCCTCACCCGAGGACATTTTTCCATATTTTGTTTAGAGTGGGAGGGAGAGAGAGAGAGAGAAAAACATTGACGTAAAAGGGACACATCGAGTGTTTGCCACCTGCACGACCCAACCACGGCCAGGGACAAACTGCAACCGAGGTACGTGGCCTTAGCAGTAACCAAACCCGGGTCTCTCTAGATCGCAGGCCAACACTCTAACCACTGAGCCAAACCAGCCAGGGCTTGAATAGTTCTAATTAACAACATTATAAGCCAAGGCTGCTGCTTGGTCCCAGTGGGTGAGGAAGTGAGGAGTCACACCAGAAGGTCAACCACCGACACCAAGACATTTAACCTGGCGTTTGGGAGTAAAATATCCTTGGTGCAGGTAGCAGCGCAGTTATTTACACTGTGACACGAACACTTGGTCACACTGTGGACAGTTCACAGAGGAGCCAGACCACTTCCAAGTGCACCTTATGACTAGACTACAGGTACGCGGGAGCCCCTGAAGAACGGAAAGAGCGTCACTATGCATGAAGGCGTTCCAACCTTCTGAGATAACGCAGCAACACGACGGTCCAACGCTTCCCGCTGCACGAGTTAGGGCAGGAAGCATGGGGCAGCTCGCTGACTGCCCAGGGAACCCTCAGGAAGGTCTGTACCCAGAGGGGAAACAGCTGACACCAGGCACAAACTGGCACAGAGCACAGGCAACAGGCAAGAACAGCCAACCCCTCGTCACTAAGAAGTGTCATTACACTGCCACAGTAAAATGATGGGATACTTAAGCAGTGCCTTCAAAATGATGTTTTAATTCCTATAAACATATAAGTTGAACATCAATATAGTAAATTTGGAAGTAGAAAAAAGACAAGTTAGTTTTTCTAATAAAGTTATACATTTTTCTTTCTGATTTTTAACAAATCCTATTCACTTATATAATTTGTGAAATAATTGTGCCGTAACAAGAAAATAACACATGAAATATCACGTATCTATCTCCCAGCCTAAGAAAACAAAACAACAGAGTTGACTCTCCCCATGTACCTTCTTCCTGCATCTGCCCCCCCTCCCCCTCCAGAAGTAACTACTATCCGGAACTTAGTGTCCATCATTCCTACGTGTCTCTATACACTTCTGCAAAGTATGTATGGAGCCCTAAGAAACATATAGTATGTTTTCCCTTATTATATTCATATGCAATCTGTTTATATTCTGAACATCTGCAATTGCTTTGTTCACTCGATATCCATATGATGACAGGCGCAGCTCCGGTTCAGGCTTTTCACTAATATACAGTATTGCACTGTAAGAATGTGCCACATTTATCCATTTTCCTGTGATGGACAGAGAGTTTGTCTCTAACTTTTTACTATTATAATCAGTGCTGCTATGAACATTCTTACACGCACATCCTTTGTTCGCATGTTTGAGACCTTTCATAGGGCTGCAGAGTAAAGAGGTCTTCAAGTTTACCTGATACTGCTCAATAATTTCCAAAGCAATTGTTCTCATCTATACTCCCCACCTCTGAAAACTCTGCATCGCTAAACCTTTTCTCTTCCAAACTAGTGGGAGTACACTGAATCTGAGATTACTAGATGACCTTCCCTCCCCGTGTCTACTAGTACCTGGCTTCTTCAGTTTCACTTACACTGCCTGCTCCAGGATTTTGCCCACCTTTGTGTTTTTCTTATGATTCATAGTTCTTGATATGAATTCTAATCTTTTGTTAGTTATACATGTTGCAAATAATGCCCTAGTTTGCATTTTGTCTTTTCAACTTTCTTTATGATTCGTTTTAATGAACTGAGAATGTTAAGAAATCAAATTCATCAATTTTAGTGGCTATACTTTTTGTGCCTTATTTAAAGGAATTATTCCTTTCTCTGAAATCATAAAGTGAGTCTCTTATTTTTCTACTAAAAGTAATAAAAATTTTGTTTTTTATAATTAGAACTTTAATACATTTGAAATTAATTTTTATATGCAGTGTACAGCAGAGGTCCAATTTTTCCCAAATGGTTACCCAACTGTTCACCACAATTATGAAACACTTGATCCTTTCCCCACTAACCCTCAATACCACCTCTGTAAAATATAAGTTCCACACATGGATCTAGGGATCTATTTCGAGACTCCCTCTTCTGTCCACTGGTTTATTTACATTACCAAAGCCAACACCATGGGAATGACTACTGTAGCTTTAAAATAAGTCTTGGAGCCCTGGCCGGTTTGGCTCAATGGCAGAGCATCGGCCTGCAGTCCAGAGAGACCCGGGTTCGGTTCTCGCTAAGGGCATGTACCTCGGCTGCAGTTTGTCCCCGGCCCTGGTTGGGTCGTGTGGGTGGCAACCACTCGATGTGTCCCTTTCACGTCGATGTTTCTCTCTCTCTCTCTCTCTCTCCCTCCCACTCTATCTGAACAATAAATGGAAAAATGTCATCAGGTGAGGATAAAATAAATAAATAAATATTAAAAAGTCTTGGAATTTAGAAGGGCAAGGACCCCTACAAAGTTGTTCTTCTGAAGTATCTTGAGTATTTCTGACTTTTTGCCTTTCCATATAAATTTTAGAATCATGAATGTCAAGTTCCACAAAAACAAAACAAGATGTTGAGATTTTGAAAAAAATTGCACTGAATCTACATAACAATGTACAATATTAATCTTAGCCAAATCCTGCCGAAGACCACTCTTTCTTTCCCATCAATTTAAGTCTTCCTTTAATGTCTTAAACTTTTATAATCCTCTCTATAAAGTATCGTACATTTTCTGTTAGATATATTGCTACATATCTTGTAAGTTTTGTTGTTATAGAAATGATACCTACCTATTTCCAAAGTACATTGCCTACAGGTTTATTTTTGATATACAGAAATCCAACTGATCTTGTATATTGATGTTATACCCAGTAACCTTGCTGAAACTCTTATAAGTCTAATAATTTGTTGATTCCCTTGGTTATTCTATGTAGACAATCTTGCTATATGCAAATAAGGGCAGTTTCTCCTAACATTTTTTTTTATCCTCACCCCAGGCCATTTTTGCATTTATCTTCAGATAAAGCAGGAAGAAGAGAGTGGGGAAGAGAGAGAGAGAGAGAGAAAACATCAACATGAGAGAGACACACTGAGTGGTTGCCACCCACACGACCCCAACCAGGGCCATGGATAAACCAACCGAGGTACGTGCCCCTAGCAGGAACTGAACCCAGGACTGTCCGGTCCAAGGACCGACGCTCTAACTGCTGTGCCAAACCGGCCAGGGCTCTCCTAACATTTTTTTATTTTTATTTTTCTTTATTCTAGAGAGAGAGGAAGAAAGAGGAAGAGAGAGAGATAGAAACATCAATGAGAGAGAACAATGATTTCTCTCCTAACATTTTTTTTTTTCATCCTCACCCAAGGACATTTTTCCATTTTTTGTTCAGAGTGGGAAGGAGAGAGAGAAAGAGAGAGAGAGAAACATCGACGTGAAAGGGACACATCGAGTGGCTGCCTCCCACAGGGCCCAACCAGGGCCAGGAACAAACTGCAACTGAGGTACGTGCCCCTAGCAGGAACTGAACCCGGGTCTCTCTGGACCACAGGCCGACACTCTAACCGCTGAGCCAAACTGGCCAGGGCCCTCCTAACATTTTTAATGGTCCAATCATCAAAAACAGTTTGGCTAAAATTTCATCCGAATATAGGTCACAAACTGTGACAAACACCAATGAAAGTTTAGTCATTCTTTCTCATCACTGACAAAGGGTCCGTGACAGCATGTGGCTTCTAGTCTCCCCTCCAGGACTGATAGAAGCTCTTAACCATTAAATAACGACTAATAACAAAGGCATTAGAATAGCATGCACAATGAAGAAAATATAGTGCTGGTACAGTTTTACCTCTTCCAGGAGACGATGTACTGCCCAGTTGCTACTCCACCTTCAACGTTCCCAACAGAAGGGCACCGAAGACAAAAGCACTCGCTGGCGCTCTCTCCAGCCTGTAAGACAACTGCAAGCAAGAACCTTCATGATCCGTATGCACTGACTCACGCACGAGAGGGCAGTTCGCATCCGTGTAAGACAGCAAGAAACACCTCACTGCACATTACTATGGAGACTTAGACACTGAGGCTCACAGAACTAAATGACTGCTTCAAGGTCACAAGGTCCCTGTGCAGTGTTCTTTCTAATCTAGCAATATATTCCATTACAATAAAAATAGGCAAGGCATCTGCACATCCGTGACATGTTCCCATGAAACTTCTCCTATGAAATGGAGAAGTCTAGAGTGAGAATACCCTTTGGTGGTTATTTTTATTTCTCCAAATTATTTCATGTCTCCAAAGGAAACATTCCACAATCAGGGACAACACAGATAATTTTAATTACCCCTTAAGGTACTCAAAATGTCATTCCAGAAAACTCTTAACTTTCTCTGAATAAATACATACTGTTGATATCACCAAAATGGAACTACATTATATATTGCCTCATTATTGCCCAATGTGGTTACTTACCTCTTGGCAAGGATGTGTTCCTCTCGCCAATTTCACAGTAAATCTCCTGATAACTAGATAAACACTCATTCTACCTCTTGTGCAAGGATGTGTTTCTCTTGCCAACTTTATAGTAAATCTCCTGATAACCAGACACATGCTTGTCTAAACCAAGCCCTGCCTACCCTTCGGCACATCATGGCCTGCAGTATTACCCCTTTAAATGCCAGCTGGCAACAGTGCCCATCTAATGTCAACTTCAGCAAATCTATGAGCAAAACCTTAGAATAACAGCAAAGTCCCTAAATATTAAGTAACTTTTTATGGTTTTCCAATGAAGAAATCTGTGATAAATTAATGGTTATGCCTGTGGGTAGATACCAGAAATGACAAGGAAAAAAGCTGGGTTAATCTTTTACTTGAAATAACTACTTTTAAGTAGTTTTTAAGGACTAGGAAATGATGATGTAGGCCAGTAAGAAAACCCACATCAATTCAAACCTCTTAGAATAGCTTTTTTAAAAACCTGGGGCACTCATATTATTAAATTCCCCCCAAATCCTCCCTAATTATAAGAAGTTAACCAAAATGATCAAAAACTTTCTTAATAATTAACATTAGGGTCAGGGCCTGGGCAAGTTGTGATTTTTAACGTGTCACACACAAACTTCAGAGTGCACAGTGCCCGTGTTCTTGGAGCTGGCAGACAGAATAATGTCACCACCCCCAAAGAGATCCACATTCTAAGATTATACTGGATTATCTAGTTGGGCCCAATGTAATCACAAGGATTACAGAAAGAGAAGGAGGTAAGAAGGAATCTGATAAGGAGATGCGACAATGGAAGCAGAAGTCGCAGAAAGACGTCTGAGACCCTACAGCTGGTTTTGAAAATGGAAGGAGGAGCCACGAGCCAAGGACTCCAAGTGGCCCCAGAAACTGGAAAAGCCAAAGGGAAGGATTTTCCCTGGAGCCTAAAGACATGTAGGCCTGCCAACACCACCTTGATTTCAGGACTTTTGACCTCCAGAATTTTAAGACAATAAAATCTTATTATCTTAAAAACTAGACATCATTCATTAATTTAATAAACATCAATTAACTGCTCTGGAGCTGGTGACACACAGAGAAGTCACAGTGCTGGCTCTCAAGGAGCAGTGTGGCAGGGGAGCCTGTCTATGGAGACAGAGTGACAACGGGATGGGAAGTGTCGTACAACGGTGTGTCCAAGACACCGTGGGGGGAAAGAGGGAAGAGGGCTTGGCCCACCCGGGAGGATCAGGAGTCCAAGCTTGCACGAGCCCTAAGGGGCCAGCAAGAAAGAGGTCAGCAGGTTGAAAGACAAGAGGGAGAGAGTTTTGAACAGAAGTAATAGGTTCCCAGGCAGACGGGGTCAGTGTGCTGAATGGAAACTGCTGGCCTGGCTGCAGTCTGAGAAAGGGCCACGGGAAGCAGGGACGGGCGCAGAAGAAGCCAGAAAAGTCAGCCGAGCCTGCGAGTGCAAGGTCTGGTATGTCACGGGAGTTGTTAACAGCAGGAATGACAACTCTGGCGGCAACATGAAAGGCAGCTGAAGGGAGAAACTGGCAAGGAGGCAAGGAGTTAAGAAGCTATTTCTAACGGTCAGGTGGGAAGTGGTGAGGATGGAGATGAGAAGCTGAACTCAAGAGAGGTGGAGAAGAGAGAACTACCACTTCTAGTGAAACGACGTATAACCAGACCAGTTTTACCACAAGCCAATGACTTACGTTCCTGTGGCATCTCAGCAACGTTGTAATAAAACAACATTGGACGAAACGACATTATTCAAGGACCTGCATATTACTTTATATTCAAGTACATTTCTCATAAAGTGACTTCCTTATAACAGCAAAACTTTGATTTTTAAAAATAATGTATACTCAAACAAACTGCAAATGATGCTAAGTCTACCTTAATTCTAAATGTATTTGCTTTTGTGAGCACAAGCCTCAAGTTCCCTCCCTTACCAAAAACTAACTCTTACACTGCTAACACGCACACGCACCCACGCACTCAGCTGTCTTCTGCTAATTAAGTGGGATGATCCGCATTCTCACCTCTGTCCACCTGGGACTCTAGCTGATCCACAGATGTCATGGAGGGAGCAAGCTGGAGCTCGCTGGAGACAATGGTGAGGGCCCAGGGTGAAGCACTCAGAAGGTCCGTCATCAACAGAAAGGGGATGTCAGCATAGACCCTTTCTAGGTGCTCAAACTGTCACAAATGTAGACAAAAGGTCTGTCAGGAACTACATAAACCAATTTTATTTCCTATAACCTAAATGATTTCCAATATGCTTCACAGGGACATACCTTTGTAGAAACAAATTTCACTGCAACATCAAATGGAAAGACGGTTTCTATTGTCACAGTTTCATCCTGCAGGAAAATGGCAAAGGGCACATGCAATGGTTTTCTACATCTTAACAATACGTGACGTTTTAAAAATAAAAGGCATATAAAACAATCTAAACAATCCCAATTTATACAGTAAGATGCTAGGATTTTTCCCTTAGAGGTCTGTAAAAATCCATGTAGAGAGACCAGACTACTTTTTCTAACATGTTATCTTATGGTATTATAACACACTGCAAAGTGCTTTCTTTTACATTATTTATCTCAGGACCTGGTGAAAGTGGGCGGGCAGGTACTGTCACCTATTCTAGTACAGAAACCAGGTTCGAGGTGATTTTAAGTGACTGGCCTTAGGCCACAAAGCTGGTGGTGCCAACCATAGAACCTGGTCTTCTTTTGTCACCCTGACGCAAAATGAGTAAAACAACAATAATGATAATAACAATAAAACAATATGACACAGTGTTATAATCCTTATACATGTGCTATGTAATGCTCATAACTCAAGGAACAGATGCCATTCTTACTACCATCTACAGATGAAGCTGTCACATAGCTAGTAAGTAACAAAGGCAAACACTGAACCAAATCTGACCCTGGAGCCTGAACTTTAACCAACATGCTACATCTTCTCTCTAGAGTCTGTTAAACAAACAGTGGGGTTATTAGATCTCTGGAAACAAGCAATCCACCCTGTCAAGAAATCTTTAAAAAGGGTCATGCTGGTTAAAAATTCAGGCTGTAATGCCAGAAAGATCTGGATTTTAATCCTGGCTAGATACATAGTCGCTGTGTAGACCTTGGACATAGCGATGAGACCTTGGGAAAGTTACATGTTCTCTTTAACATGATCAGTTTCACAATCCTCAGTCATTATGATAATTAAATGAGACAATGCACAGAAAGCACTAAGTGATGTGCCTAAAACATTTTATTAATTATTATCATTATAATATGCTTCAAAGTATTTCCTCTTTCAATATCATCAAGGTAACTTTTTAAAGTGCAATAGGTAGGATATATGACATTCTTATTTTAGTGGTGGGAAAAAAAGAAAAAAGTGCACAATGGCTCCACGCAGATGCTTAGGGCCTCAACATTTCCCCACAACTCAATGAAGCAGCAACTCAATGACCAGCTCAGACGTGGCCAATTCTGACTTTCTACACGGCCTGCAAAGCAGATTCACGTACAGGTAAAAATGAGATCTAATCCAGTGCAGGAAAAAACACTTATATTTAAGTTTCCAAAAATGTCTTCCAAATAACACTAGGACCTGTAAGATATTCCACAAGAACAGTGCTTCTTGGTGAAATAACTTTAAAAAAGATACTCACTATTTCCTTTTGTGAAGACTCTAATACGGACTGAATGCTGTGCTAAGTCCTGAAGTAAAATACCTGTTCAACATCTTTCAACCCAGTATTTTCCAAACATATTTGACCAATCAATTCACTTTTGAGTAATATCTATTTCTAGCCCCCAGAATTCTGTCCCTTAATGGCACACCTTGAGAACAGGCTGGCTGGGGGAAGAGTCAACATACTGTCCTCTGATAAGTGGCATGCATCTGAAACACCATGTCTGAGGAGGACCTGCCGGGTGCGGCAGCACACTGCTTCCGCGGCTTCCGGGACAGGTGCCAGGCAGCACGGTTTCCAAAGGCACGTTCAGTCTACCATCTACCTCGTGAACAGAAGCCGAAATGACATCCAAGGCTCAGGGCTCTAACCGTGCACGAAGCTTTAACGTTCGTATTTTATAGATAAGGAAACTGAGGCCAGGAGAAGTTACGTGGCGCGCCCAAGTTCCCTAACTAGAAGGCAGTGCTGAGATTAGCACCCTTATCTCCTAACTCACCATCGAGGGTGCTTTTTCTTACATCAAGCTAGATCGGAGATTTTCAACCGGTGGGCCACAAGAATTTTAACACACTGTTGACCGCTCACGAGTTAACTTGTGTTTGCACTTGCATGAGCTATTTCAATTTTTGAAACTCAGTATAATATAGGACTATTGTATTTGTGACCCTTTGCCCTTAGAGTCGAAGTTCAAAAAACAGCACATCATTCTATATTCTTGAAGTAGCTGGGGAATGGATATCTGCTGGTTCAAATGAGTGCGGCTCAGAACCTAACACTTCTTCTGGTCCTTCTAAAGAGCTCCTCATATGGATTTACCTTTTAGGTTTTCAGGGCAACTAAAAAACCATGTTTTAGAAAAAATAGTCACTGATATAAAAAAAATCCAACTAGAAGGTAAAAAGTGTGTGTTTCAAAAGGTGACTGCTATACAGTATACCACACCAAAGAAATTACTAAAATATATAAGATGTATACAATATAATATGTAGCAGACATGTAGAAAGTTTCATTTGAATTCATTATGTATAAATAAAGTATACTGAAGTTTATTTAGATTGTTTCACTTTCATACGCAATTATGAAAAAATAGCTGGTGATATGAGATAATTTCTGCGTAAAATTGCCAGTCAACATTGTTTTTTTAAAACATGCAGTACCTGCCCGGCCAGTGTGGCTCAGTGGCTGAGCATTGGACCCATGCACCAAGAGGTTGCCAGTTTGGTTCTCAGAGCACATGCCCAGATTGTGGGCAAAATCCCCAGTGGGAGGCACGCAAGAGGCAGCCAGCTGACTTTCTCTCTCATCGATGTTTCTCTCTCTCTCTTCCTCTCCCTTTCTCTCTCTCTCTAAAATCAATTAAAAAATTATTTAAAACATGCAGTACCTGACTATTTAGTCAGGGGCACTGACCTTTTTTCCTTTAGATTGTCAAGAGAAAAAAAATGATAATAGCCAACACAACAATAGCCCCCTACCTGGTGTGAAAGAATAAAAATTATACCTATTTTTGTTGTTGTTAGATTGGCCAAAAATATCTTTTTTGGTGTACCACAGAATTTTAGCAATTAGTTTATTTGTGCCACGAGATGGAAAAGGTTGAAAATCACTGAGCTAGGTGAAACTTTTGACAATCTATGGCGTGTTTTCTTCCCTCCCACTTGGGAAATACTCCTTACTTCTTTTAGGATGGTTTTGCCTCCCAGAGACTTATAAAGAGCCCACTGCCCAGACTCTGTGGCAACCAAACTACAAATCTCCCAATTACTAGGCCAACTCCTCTGCTGGGCTGAGAACCCAGTTCCTATAAAATGCTGAGACCACAGGGCTGCCAGGACTAAGATACTAAGTATCATAATTTTCCATTAATAAAAGAGGATACAAGCATTACATAAAATACTGTTCAATCTGTATAAAACATGCTTCCCAAATCCCTAGAAACAGAAACCAGAGCAACAAGATCTCCACCAGCCGAGAGCTGACTCTGAGCTGTGAACTGTGACTGACAGCTCTCCGGGTCCCACGCTCTTCCGTGCACTCACCAAACCGACTTTCCTAAGGACCTATTTTAATAGAGAAAATATTTCATGAAGGGAAACCTCCCTTCCTCTGAAACCTTCTATATATATATGCCAACTTACAGATTTTATCTGTAAGTTTGTAAAGAGCAGATAGGTTTAAAGTCTCAAGACTTGTTTGCATGAGATCTCAAACCTGTCGATCCTCCACATGAAAAGCCACGTCGGCATATTTTCTAATGTTTCAGCAATGAATGCCTATTATATTGTTTATAATAAACATAAATGATTAAAAAACGCAGATGTTTAATTAAAATTTGAAATAGACTGCTTATTTGACAAGTAAACTAAAATAATACAACAAGGAAGACTCCACATAGGATGTTCCCTGAAGGAGCCACAGAGAACGATACCTTGTGACACTTGCAAACAATGTCTTTGTCTTCAATAGTTGTACTGATCAGGTAAGAAACATACACGAGAAACATTCTGGAACCCACTGTTCCACAGCGAACATACAACATTTTTTCCAGCTGCAACATAATAAAAGTATTTTAATTTAATTACCATTACAGAGTCGCATCTAATATAGTCAAGGATAATGTTCCCACCTTATATAATTTACGGTACCAACTGGCTAAATTCCTGAACCCTTTTAAAAGCTGTTCCTCCACAGCACCAGAGTTGGGATCATTACTGCTCCATCTTTTTATTATCATTCCCAACTCCCCAAAAAGTCTTTACGTTTGGTTTGGAAATAAAAGTTGATTGAAAGGTATTTCACTAAGTTGCAAAGTTAGCATTATTAAGTTATTTTATCAGGCAATTAATTATCTGTAGTAGTCATTTATGCTAAAATCCCTTGTATAAAAACTGCTTAAGACATCTTACACGTTTAAACGTGTAAAATAGCATAAAATGTGCATTGGTTTAGTCACTTTTTTAGTCTCAGGAAATGCTATGGAAATGCTCTAAAACTCACCACATTTAAAACTACAAGCTAACAGATTTCCCTCCAGTCACTGTTGACCTACTTTACCTGCTCCCCAGGATGTAGGTCCCCAACAGGAATGTCAGTGAGCAAAGCCGGGCAGGACTCATCGCACAGTTCTGTTCCATGAAGAGTCACCTGAGTTTTCTGAGTTAAATTGGCATCCTGTCCTATGAGAGTTAATAATGGTGTTTTAAAATAGAGAATTCAAACACTATCCTAACAGTACTGCATAATAAAGTGCACTAGATCATAACCACATTTTAAACAAACTTCCCAGAGTTGACACCACCAGAGTCCATGTTGCATTAATACAGACCAAATTTAAAAGGAATGTTTACCGGGTTTTAAACCAGCAGTGAGCTTCATGTCTCTGATTTGGGTCTTTTCATGGGACTGAACAGTTACAACCAAACAATACATCTCATCCGTCAGGGCAGGAGGGTCATGTCGCAGATGTACCGAAATGTTTGGAACTCTGGAAATGATCCTTCAGGGAAAAACCGTAGCTAAGTAACTGTTTTAAAAAACAAATGATTCAAACAGAGAATGTAATAGATAAGATGACCTTTCCCAATCCGCCTGGCAAGGTCGACTTACATTGTACTGGCTTGAATGGTGACACTATCCCAGTGAACCTCATTGTCGGGGAGCTTGGGTCGTCTTCGGAAAGAACGTGAGGCCTGTAAGGCTTCCTGGGATGAAGCAGCATCTCCTCCTCCTCCCTGCCAGTTTAAAACCACGCACCTTCCTGTCTCGTGGCCCAGAACCAGATCCACAGAGGTGATCTAAGAGAAGGAGGTCTGTCAGACGAGCCAGCTCATTCTTGTTTGCCGCCAAGCCCGCTTAACAAATTACATTGGAGATTGCTGGTCTATGGAGCTCATCCAGAAACCCAGGGTGTGAGAGAAATAGTAACACCTGCTGCCCTGGCTGGTGGGGCTCCGTTGGTTGGAGCAACATCCCATACACCAAAAGGGGCAGCTTTGATTCCCAGTTAGGACACATACCTAGGTTGCAGGTTCAATCCCCCGTGGTTGGGGTGCAACCACACTGATTGATGTTTCTTTGCCCCTCTTCCCCCACCCCCTTCCTCTCTCTGAAATCAATGAAAAAAACAAACACCTGCCATTAGAGTCTTACCCTGGCCATCAATTAGCTTAGACGTTAATAGCATGCTAGGTTTCAACTTCTTTGCCTTTAAACAGAGATAATAACTTGATTTTTTAGCTAAGACACTATTATGATTTTAGCACCTGGCACAGTGCCTGACATAACAGTGTTTGCAAAGTGAAACAAATTAATGTTTTAATAACCATTAATATATTCATAACCTAATTCCACACATTTTTGCTAAAGACATCTATCATATTAGCAATGAAATTCTTTACTAATTGAGTAAATGTTCCTTTCAACCAAATCCATCAACAAATGGACTCAAAATAGTACTATTAATTACAATTTACATCTGGTAGGCTTTCTTAGGTATCTTGCAAAAAAATATGTAATTAGGGATCTAGTCAAAATCATACATATTTTAAATGAATAAGCAAAATCTCTGGATATTGGTTAATAATAAATTCAAGAGATTCACAGAAATTGTTATGGGAATATTGGTAGTACAGTCTTATGTTTCTATCTTAGAAATGGCCCCAAGTTTACATGAGCTAATCATTCTCATTCAAGCCATGGAAAGCATGCATTTAATGAGCACTTACTGCACACTAACCACTATTCCAAGCAATTTACATTAATTAACTCACTTAATCCTCATGAAAACACTAAGAAGTAGGTACTATTATTACCTTCATTTTACAGATGAATAAACTGAAATACAAAGAGGTCGGGTAACTGCCCAGGGCCACAAGCTAGTAAGCTGGAGAGTTGGAATTAAAACCCACATAGTTTGGCCCTGGTTGGTTTGGTTCAGTGGTTGCAGCATCGGTCTGCGGACCCAAGGGTCACTGGTTCAATTCCCAGTCAAGGGCACATACCTGGGTTGTAGGCTCGATCCCGGGCCCTGGTTGGGGTCATGTGGGAGGCAGCTGATCGATGTGTGTCTCTCTCAGATAGATGTTTTTCTCTCTCCCTCTCTCCTTTCTACTCTATCTAAGTCAATGAAAAAATATCCTCGGGTGGAGATAAACAAAAAATAATATAACCCATGTCGTTTGGCTCCAGAGTTTATGCTCAATAAAAACATTTTCATCACATATGTCTGACAAGCATTTTATTATCCACACTAAATGAGTCATTTTTTTCTTTAAAAATATGCAATCGGCCATGTTTAAACATCAAAATGACATAAATCTTTAGAATGCTTGTAATATTATAAAAAATATAATTGCTATATTATATAATATATACTTTAAAATTCCTTAAGGGATTATGTCACCTTTAAAAAATAAGGTTGGGCCCTGGCCAGTTTGGCTCAGCGGTTGAGCGTCGGCCTGCGGACCAGAGAGTCACGGGTTCGGTTCCCACTAGGGGCACATACCACAAAAAAAAGAAAATAAAAAATAAGGTCGGTCTTGTGTACTAACAGGAAATGATGCCTAATATACACCACTAAGTAGTAAAGCCAACTACTGAATACTATGCACAATATACTCTCAGTGAAAGGAAACCTCCCAAACCACTGTGAATGATTTCCCTTGGAAAGTTCCAAGTGGCAGATCTTCCATTTTTACTTAACAAACTTCTATATTCTTTGAATTTTTTTTCTGACATACACATATACTTTTATCATTTAGAATATCTCTTAAATAAATTTCATAACTAACCTCAATTTTCTTTCCCACATCTTCAGTTTTTGCAACAAACTTAAATAAGAACTTCCTTGTTTTACCAGGGACTAAGCACATCTTCCCCTGAGTCAAATTTTCTAAAACTTCACTCGCTTTGGATGCTTCTTGGATTACACAGAACTGGTTGTATTCCTGAAAAAGATGTTAGCGAGAGCCAGTTTATGAACATCAAACATCATGTTTTGCTTACACTGAACACCAACTGAGCTCCACTTGTTAAGCGACCTTCACTAAGACTGCGGCATTACGCAGGGTGAATACAAGGAAGTTTTTGTCACGCAGTGCGGGCACCTTAGGCGCTCACTGTTGCACAAGACAGATAATTCACTACACACAGCTGATTTCTAAAGATGTGTAGACATCCATTCCCTGCAGAGAGAAACGAAGATTTACTCTTTGCTGCACTGGACGCTGTCATCTTCTCTTAAACAGCCTTCTTTTACTCGGCTCCTGTGACACTAGAAAATCTCCTGCTTTTCATCTTCCTCAGCTACTACTTCCTGTTTTTCCTTCAAAGGTCCTTTTTTCTTGTTCTTGTCCCCTAAACTCAGAGGTTCCACAAGTTTCAGTCCTGGGCTTTCAGATTGTGTTCACTCCACTACAAAGTTTCTCCACGTCTACCTATTTGGCACCTCTGTGCAAATATTTCTCACATAAAAACTTCTAATTCTGTCCTATTTCCTAAATGTTCATATTCACACTGTCTAGAGGAAGCTACTATAAGATACACACATGGTGAAGACATATTAAAAAGTACATTACCTGATTATTAAAGCTGACACAGAGCTTAGAAAACCTAATGGGATGTGGACAATCAGCCTTCAGATAAATATCGAACTGCACAGGAACATCAACGTGAAAACTCGGGGCGTGAAACTTGGCTTTGCATTGCACTAGGAGTAAAACAGAAAGGGCTGCGTCACACACCAGCACACACTCTAGCCTCTCACACGGTGCTCTCTGACCCAGACCCTCTGCAGAAAGGACACACCTACACTGGATGTTCTCCCACCTGCTGCATGGGAAGCACTTCAACAGACACAAATGGAGCTCACTTTTTAAAAACAAACCAAATTTAAATTAACTAGTTCCCAAACCATCTTTAATTGCAAAAACGTAATTGCTCCTGCCCATTTTTCAATTGGATTGCTTGTCTTCCTTTCGTTCAGTTGTATGAGTACTTTATATATTTTAGAAATTAACCCCTTATCAGATGTATCATTAACAAATATGTTCTCCCATATAATGGGTTCCCTTTTCATTTTGATGCTGGTTTCTTTTGTTGTGCAGATGCTTTTTAGTTTGATGTAGTCCCATTTGTTTATTTTTTCCTTTGTTTCTCTTGCCCTAGGCCAGGGGTGGGGATCATCCAGCCCACAGGCCATATAAGGACCTCAAAATCAATATCAGTTAATATCAAATGCTTCACCAAATTAGCCTGACCAAATAATAGCAGGCTAAATTTTAAGTTGATAATTTTGTATGGTCAGAGAATGATGTTATAAATATTCAAATGGCCCTTGGCAGAATAATAGATTACCCACATCCCTGCCCTAGGTGATCAGTGAAAATTCTGCTTCATGAGATATCTGAGATTTTGCTGCCTATGTCTTCTAGGATTTTCATGGTTTCACAACCTACATTTACGTCTTTTATCCATTTTGAGTTTCTTCTTGTGTATGGTGTAAGTTGGTGATCTAGTTTCACTTTTTTGCATGTACCTGTCCAATTTTCCCAACACCATTTATTGAAGAGACTGTCTTTACTCCATGGTCAAATATTAATTAAGCATAATGACTTGGGTCGATTTTTGGGTTCATCGTTCTGTTCCATTGATCTATATACCTGTTCTTATGCCAGTACCAGGCTATTCTGATTACAGTAGCTTTGTAGTATAACTTGATATTTAGTGTTGTGATCCCTCCAACTTTGTTCTTCTTTCTCAAGATTGCTACAGCTATTTGGGATATTTTTAGGTTCCATATAAATTTTCAGAATATTTGTTCTAGATCTGTGAAATATGCCGTATGGGTAGAGGATGACAATAGACATTTCTCCAAAGAGAACATACAAATGGTCAAGAGTCATATGAAAAAATGCTCTATGTCACTAATCATCAGAGAGATGTAAATTAAAATGATAATGAGGTACCACATCACACCAACCAGAATGGGTGCCATCAACAAATCATCAAATAACAAGTGCTGGCGAGGATGTGGAGGAAAAGGAGCCCTAGTGCCCTGCTGGTGGGAATGCAGACTGGTGCAGCTACTATGGAAAACAGTGTGGAGTTTCCTCAAAAAATTGAACATGGAACTACCATTTGACCCAGTGATCCCACTTCTAGGAATATATCCTAAGAATCCCAAAACACCCACCAGAAAGAATACATGCACCCCTATGTTCACCGCAGCATTGTTTGCAATAGCTAAAATCTGGAAACAACCCAAGTGCCCATCAGCTGATGAGTGGATAAAAAAGCTTTGGTACGTTTGCACAATGGAATACTACACGACTGTAAAAAAGAAGGATCTCTTACCCTTTGAAACAGAACAGAGGAACCTGGAGATTACTATGCCAAGCAAAATGAGCCAGTCAGAAAAAGACAAATATCACATGATCTCACTTATATGTGAAATATAATGAACAAAAGAAACTCATGAATCAAACAGAAGAGACATGGAAACATGGAACAGACTGACAAATCTCAGAGGGAGGGAGGGCATGGAGGGGTGAGAAGAGATGAACCTGAGAACTTACATGCACACATGCACTGCCCACAGACACGAGCAATGTGAAGGCCTGGGAGGGGTGGGAGCTGGGTGGGGGGCAATGGGAGAAAGAAGAGCAGGGGACATTTGTAATACTCTCAACAATGACGATAATTTTAAACATTTCTAGGTTAGCATTCAGTGGGAAAAAACAAAAAACAACCCCCTCAAAAATAGTTGCTCCTAAAATGTAGCTGACAGACTTTTAATGAAAAGAGAACCATTTTATTGCTCTTAATTTATTTAAAATACTCTCCCTAGATAGTAAAGCATATACCTTTAAAATAAGTCTTTTCAAATGCATTTCAAATAACATCTGAACTGCAAGTGAACAAAGTAAATTTAAGACAAACTATTTAAAACTTTGATCATCAACGGGGGAAAATCAGTTTATTTATAAAGTGGCTATATGCTGAAATCTCTTTGACTTTTATAATTATTATTCTGCACCTATCCATTTTGTAGAAATAAGGATGATTTCCCTGGAATAAGACTGAGGATGTTGGCTACCCACCAAACGGCACGAAGTCCTGCACTCCCACTGTGAAAACATTGCTGCCGGCCAGGGAAATGCGGTCCGCCCACAGCTTCTGAGCAGTTTTCACAGCTAAGATGTCACAGTCGGGTTCAGGATCAGGGCTTTCATTCTGCACCAACACAGAGTTAAACATCTGTTCAGCTAGTTATAAAAAATACATAGGGAGACGTTCAGGCTGAGGTATACATATCCTCAGAACTTATTTTACATAAAGAATTCCAACCTACCATTAAAACATTGATGAGATTCTTTTCTATCCGAGATTTCTGGTCATCTTTCAGAGTTGAAGCTAATATGAAGGAAGAATGGGAAAAAAAACTAGAACTGTGACACAGGCAAGTAAGTCCACTACCCCCATTTAAGGTACTAAAATACTGTAGAATAAACTCTTCTGTTAAATACAATTCCAGAAAATCGACAGCACAGCTTTCTTTCTTTCTTTTTTTTAATAATGAGGCCAGCAGTTCAGAAATGACAGCCATTTATTTTATTTGTTTTATCCTCACCCAAGGACACCTTTCCATTTTTTGTTCAGATAGAGGGAGAAAGGAAGAGAGAGAGAGAGAGAGAAAATTCGACAAGAAAGGGACACATTGAGTGGCTGCCACCCACACGACCCAAGCAGGGCCGGGGACAAACTGCAACGGAGCAGTTTGCCCTTAGCGGGAACCAAACCCGGGTCTCTCTGGACCGCAGGCCAACGCTCTAACCGCTGAGCCAAATTGGCCAGGGCAGCACAGCTTTCTACATATTAACCTCAACACTTCACAAAAGTGCATTTGAAGTCAATGTGAAAAATTGTTTTATGCCATGTTTTAAAAATGCAGAAGAATTTTGTGTTTCTCAACTACAAGACCCTCAACTACTGTAAGTTCCATGAAAGGTATGAATCCCTTCACTTCGCAGTGACTCGCATGTAGCAAAAGTACTACCGAGTATTTGAGACAATTCCTCTTCCAATTTTAAGAAGCTTGAAGTTGCTAAATAATACTAAAAATTCGGAACTTTACTGAAAGAACATAAATTACCTCTTCCAAGGAGTTCCAGGGAATATGTAATGTAATCTTTGAGCTGGGCCATGAGGTAGGAGCACCTGAGAGCTGTGGTCAGTATAGATGTGAGCAGAGTCCACCACCCTTCACTCCGATAATCACACATTACATAATCCAGCAACCTAGCAGGCGACAGACAGAACGTCAGACAGACTGGAACAGCTTCCCAAGACAAGTGTGACAAGTTCCAAGAGAAAATAAAGTGCTTAAACTTCAGAAAATCTTAGGAACAGTTCAACAGGTATTTTCACATTTAGTTAAATGTGAGGTTTCCTAAGACTGAAAATGATTGTACTAACAGATAATATTTGAAAAAATTCACAGAAATATCGTTTAACAGAAATAAATATGGAAATATTACATCTTTCAATACAAATGTCTATTCTAATTTTGCTGTAAGGTAATCAGAATACTTGTAAAAATAAATACTGGATAGGACTCACTTCAAAGCTTTGGTATAATCCTTTGCATAGTAATACTCCTCTCCCATTTGAACCACTATAAAGGAAGAAAGATACAATGTAATTTAAAATTATTCAAACGTGATAAAACTGTGGCATGTTATGGATACATACTTAGATGACTTTTCATTCTTGGACACTTATACTTCTTAAACTGTGCAACAGCATTGCTCAGAAGAGTTATTATTACTTCCTGTTAGAAAAGATAAAGTGTGAAACATTCTAATAAAAATAATCTCATGTTTTCCTCGAAACCTATAAAAAATAGTTGACATTGGAAAAAAAACTTACAGAGTGAACAACATTTCTCTCCTTCAGCTGAATGGCAAGAATTCCCACCTTCTCTTTTTCAGGATCAGAAAGATCAAAACCTATATCAGATAAGACATAACCCATTTTAGATAGCTCATTTAGCATAAATCCTTCACATGAACAATGGGTGTGTACATTCCTTGAATGCTTTAATATAATGTATTTAAAATTCTTAAACATTCTAGAATTTTAAAGATTGTAGGAGACAGCTTTATTAGCATATAACCTCTCTGTGACCTCTGCTTTAAAGAGAACATCATTGATTTCAATATTCTTTAGCTGGGTGAAATCAACCACCTGAACAATTATAATACCAACATCATTCTCTACATAGAATATACTTCCTGGAGATTAAAGCAAATAATTTCTCAACACTTGCCATAAAAATTGCTCAACTAGTGTAAGTATGCATAAACCACAAAAAAAGATGCAGAGAAATTATTTGATATGAATGTAAAATGATATGAATTTTAACTATTTTAAAATGTCAAATAAATCATTAAAGTTAACAGATGTCCAAATATTTTAATCACATCTACATCTGTAATTTTAACTTATTCTGAGATGCAGTGATATAAACAAAACATTCTAAAAACTGAAAACCTAAAAAGTGTTGAAAAAGCACACCTTTTCACCTCAACATTTGTCATGCCTAATGCAGGTAACCGAAATATTCGACAGCAATCTTTGCCTTTTGAGGTTGAGAGAAAAGGGAGGAGGGAAAATTTATTTACTTAGTATTCCCTGTCGCCATGATCTCTGTCCATAAAAGTCAAGAACGCCTGTTTGTGTTTCCAAGGGGTCGGGACTGGGATAGGTTACCGAAGCCTGTAAATTAAAACACAACCCTAAATAAGAGTCTATGTAACCGTCACAAACCAACACTTCTTCAACTTTTGATAGAATAAAAAAGTGTTCATAAATACAAATACCAAACACATTTTATAAATATCACATTTTATAATTTTAACATAAATTATATTTTCACAAAATTTAAGCCAAAAATGTTTCATTTAATGTTCACGTGCTCTGAAAAAATTAAATTCAATTGAATAAATCAACCTGATTCTGACAAGTGAGTTCATGATTTAGCAAGTCCTTAAATAACGTCATTTCCTTACAACATTGATGAAATGCCATAGAGCCTTAACTCTTGTTTATGTCAATTTGCCTGTGGTAAAACTGGTTTCATTATACCTCGTTTAGCTTAAAGTCACAGAATCTATCAACAACGTAAGTGAGGACTTACTATAACTAATTTGTTCACATTTTCTTTTTATCTTTGCTATAATAAACCAGCAAAAAAAAAAAATTCCAATTATGATTGATGTTTATTCCATACATATAAGTGCTCTTTATGCAAATGAAAATAATGTTATAAGGAGTTTTAAAAAGACACTATTTTCCTTGTTTATCACTTGTGCTTAAGTTAGGTCCTGGTCCTGGTGGAAGACGGACTGCTTTTGGCACCAGAATTTACAAATTTATACTGCTGTAATTTTCTTTTTTTTATAACCCTTTCCTCTGAAACCAAAATGTAATACAAGTACATTGCTCAAAACTGTAAAAAAATCCTTAAGAAAAAAGATAAAAATTTAAATTACCTATCAACCTATTGCCATTATTGCCAACATTAATAATGTATACATGATTCTTCCAGATTTTGTATGCAAATATTTATTCATTATCAACTGGAATAATTTTTCACCCTGCTCTTTTTCATATATATATATTCTGTACCTTTCACCATATCATTAAATATTCTTCGAAAACATTCTTTTTCGTGGCTGCCTGCTGTTCCTCATTTTAACAAACTCCCCATAGTTGTTCATCTTGTTATTTCTATTCTACATTACAATTCATAAATCTGTCAGAACAACTTTATAAATAAGTCTTGATACTTATCTCTTAGGATCTCTCTGCTTTAGGCTTCCTGAAAATGAAATTCTGGGTCAAAAGATATGCATGATTTTGAGGCTTCTCAAATTATTTGACAGAAATATTATTTTACATTCCAGCCAATGATATTTGTTAACGCCCATTTCCTCATATCTTTATAAAATCTCATTTTAATCACTTTTTAAAATACTGTGTTCAAAATACAAGATGTCAAACTTTTAAATTATAAAACATGCAAGTTATAAATCATACACAAATAACATGGTAGAAAACAGTCTAGTTACATCATGATTTCTTAGTATTTAAAGTACTAATATGCAAACTGCTGCTTTTGGAACAGTTTTTTAAGTAGTACTGTTGACAATATTCACCTATTGTCAGAGAATAAAATTGTAAATTTTAAGTGAAAATAAACTGATATAACCATATGAATGTAAATATGTGTGTGTGTGTGTGTGTGTAATAAGAACACACCATATTCTTATTTTAAAGGTGTTTATGGGGAAACTGGTATCTAAATATAATCATCCAAGAGAAAAGCAAAATGAAATGCAAGTTTAAGAAACTATACAATTAACATTATGTTCTAATAGATTCTTATGAGTTTTCCTTAGAGGAAAACCTCAGGAAGGGAAAGCAGTCCAAAGTTATCCTCTCCGGTGGGGCAAATGAACCAACCGCCTGCAGCGCCCTTCAAACTCCCACAGACGTGAGCACAGCAAAACCCTGGATTTACAGGGTGGCACGGGGTAAACTGCGGCTTGTATTTTAAAGTAATTTTCTCTTGTCTAAATCACTAGCTTATTGATAATCATACGTCAGTTCTTCAAAGAAAAACTTCTGCTTAATTTATAGGTAAAATAGGGTACTTAGGCTAAAACTGAAAATAATTCCTGAAATATAAAAAGCTGATTATATTCAAAGCCTGAGACAAAAATTACCCACACCAATTAGTTTTATCTTCTTTCGAGAGAAGAGGAATCAAGTTCCTAAGTGCCAGGGCAAACGGGGTCAGGAACTTACTTCATGGCTGCAGAGGGACTTGGCGAGCAGTTTCCGCTCCTGGGCATAGTATGCTGCCTGCTGGTAGTAGAAACCAGGATTCTGAGTCTGAATAGCTGTCAACCCTAACTTAATAGCTTCATCAAATAAATCTCCAAAGGCCTGGAATCTTAAAGAAAAAAAAAAAATCAAGAAATAAAAAAAGAATGAAAAAGGAAAGAAAAAGCTTACTTCTATAATCATTCATACTGGAACCATAACCTCAGCAGACTGTTTTAAAATAATGCTCCCGATGAACTATGAATTAGTGGGATTTCTTATGTAAATACTAATGTACACTAATTAATTGTAGGTAACAGGTAGTTTCTGGATCTAAGTCAACTCTTCTGAGCTGGTAAGCCTTTATAAATATCCTACCAAACAAGATGTGAAAATAGTTGCCACCGCTCAAATCCACCCATGTCTCTGGAACAATTTCATTCTAGCAATTTTTAAACATCGGTCTCAAATAGAAAGTCCCAGGTCAGCAGGGATTTTGTTTTGTTCACTGCTACAGTCTCAGTACCTAGACACATGGTAGAAACTCAATAACTATATGTTGAATGAAAAAACATTACCATGAATGAACTGATTTCCATTAAGGAACTGTATGAATCAATAATTTACTGTTACTGGAAACATACTTATGCAAAATTGAAAACCTACTTACTGACAAAAATCTTAGTTTAGTTTAGAACCAAAGTCCATGCTAATTCTGTCCCTCCAAATCCTAAGTACTATAAAAAAAATTTCCAAATGTACGATTTAAAACATACTGTTTGGACATCCAGGCAGCATGCTCAAAAGACAACTCCGCACTTCCGATTTTTTTCTTACACAAGTCGATATGTTTTCGGAACTGAGCAATTGCATCCAATGGGGTGTTGTGCTGAAAACACAGCCGACAGATCTGCGAAATGTAAAATCAACCCCAAAAGAAAAAAGAAAATCAAAGTCAAAAGGCATATTCTTTTAAAAATATGTAAACTCTAAGACTAACTTTACAAAACTACAGAGCTTCCTTCTCTGAAGTTCTCCACAATAGGATTGATTTTTTTCTATGACATGGTTTATGTTGCCCCTTTGATAAATGAAATAAAAATATTCAGTATTGTACTGAGTCTGTGCTATACCTTAGAAAAAGCCTTTTAATAGTATAAAAATATAATAAAACTATATACCCAATGAAGAACACAAAGATGGGCAAAAATAAAATATCTCCAACAGGTAACTAAGAAAGAAGAGATTAACTATCAGTTTTAGAATTGTCAGGAAGCTAAGGATTTTCTGCAGTACAATTAGAGCACCACAGCCTCCACATCAAACAAGGATTACAAAATCCTTGACAACTTTTGGTGGGGAATTTCATTTCAAAACAGTAATAATCTATGTGTATGTAGGGTAAAAGGAAAACAAAAAAAAAAGAAGCCTAAGTTTATATCCATATACTTATTGCCAGTTTAAATTTTATTTTTTTTAGGTACAAAGAAATATCTGAGGTTAAGCCTCTTATCTATCCCTGTCCCTCAGCCATCCAATCCCCCTTTCCAGAGGCAACCAGCTCCCAGAACATGTTTCGTGATATATTCTATGCACACACAAGTGTGTGTGTATGCATTTATATATAACTATTACTTTTATACAAATAGCATCTCACTAAATATGCTGCTTTGTGCCTTACTTTTTTCACCTAAAAATCTATCTTGGATCTCATTCCATATCAACATATAGAGTTGCCTCATTCTTAATAGTTATATACTAGTCCATTGTGTGAAGTTATAATTTATATTAACCAGTCACTTGTTTCTGGGTTGTTTCCAATCTTTTCATATTATGGAATGAAATAAATACCTTCATGTGTGTGATTTGCAAGTCTTGGCACACGTATTAGATAAATTTCCTGAAATGGAATTCCTAGATCAAAGGGAACATCCACTTTAAATGTGTATAGTCAGGGCAAAAATACTCTCTACAGGAGCTGTACCAATTTACACTTACAGAAACAATGAATTAAAGTGACCATCTGCCCTCACATCACCGATCCAGTAGCAGCCGTCTTTAAAATACTGAGTGTGGAAAGATGGAAAGCAAAACAGACAGCCCTCACTTGCCTTCTGGGAGCATCTATTTCTACCATATATAATCTTAAAATGTGTAAATAGTATGTATAAAAGTTTCCACTAAGGTGAATAGATACAACTTTCCTATGGCTGTGCCATTAAACCAAGGAAGCTTTACATCGTTCTAATATGTTAAACCTTTAAAATTCAATAATATGGGTAGCTCTCTTCTCACTCCTTCCTGCTCCCCCTTAAAAACAAACAAAAAAAAGACCCTCTAGAGGATTTTTACAAAAGTAAAACTGCTCTAAGTGAGAACTCTAATACCCATAAACTCTAAACAAGCATTACAATGAGACTGCTAAGCACCAAGCATCCCTGAGATAAAGGACAGAAAAGAGGAGAATAATTACTCGAATACTTTTCAGAGCAATAACTAATTTGGGTTTTCGAATTTTAAAAAGATAATCTGATACTTAAAGACAAATTTTCTTTATTTGGAATTAGAACTATTACCTTGTAGTTTATAAATCCTGCCATAGTCTTAATTTCTAGAATATTAGTTTCATGGGCTCTCAATTCATGTACAAGATTATAGGCAGTCCTGTAATTCCTAAAAGAAACATAAGAAAGATAGTTAATTGTGAGATAACTTAATTTTAAGATAAGAATCCTAACAATAAAATTATTAAAAATAAAGGAAACAATGGTGAGTCAACATTTCTTAGCACTCAACAGCTCAAACATATTAATCTCTGATTTCCTGAAAAGTGATATATTAATTATGTGTAAGAATATTCAATGACTTTTCATTAAGAACAGTACCATTATGTGCACATTGTTCTGTCATTAACATCTGTCAATAATTGTTAGAAAGTAAGTTCAAAAACGAAAGGAGACAACGGTCCAGAATTACATTTAAAAATTAGCATTCTATTAAAAAATAAGTATTTCTTAAAAGCATCATCGTAAACTGACAAACTATATTAGGAGAAGGTCTATCAAGATAGCACAGGTCAACGGCTATTAAACCCACGTAACTCTCCAGTTAGGTGACATCACTGGTGTCGGACAGGCTGGCGAGGGGAAATGTCCTGGGAACGGCTGGTGCTGAGGAAGAGGACATGGGGGAGGGAGAGCCTGGCAGAGGAGGCCTGCCCTGAACATGGAAGGTAAGGAGGAAATCTCAACAGTCTTCTCCAAAGAAAACTGCTCCTGACTTCACCAGGTGAAAATTTTCTCTCCAGAATTGTTTTTGAACAGAACTGAAATTGAAGGTTTTTAACTAATACCACGGATCAAAAATAAACCACATTAAAGCCAGCTATAATTATCTGAAGTTGTTGAGATTTAGAGAACACAATTCGGTACTTAGCACCTCAATAATAACACACACAAAGACGTTTCTGCAATATTCCTCTGAAAAATAGACATATATATTTTTTTATTTCTCTATTTCTCTGTCTGTGCACTTAGCCTGTCCTCAACTTTAGGCGGTATCAACGGTTTTTATCCCTTTGCTGCACTGCCGCTGCAATCTTCAAAAACTGAGATAGAGCTAGAAAGAGATCGTGTTTTAGTAAATTGTGGCAAAGGAATAAAATGCCAACGACTGCCAAGACATCAGCATCTACTCTTCAAAGCTCTAGGCGGACTCTTTGAATGAACAATGATGTTACTGACAGGCATTAAAAACTAAAAAAATAAATCTAATTAAAATAAAATCATGCTCTGGCCAATGTAGATAGAGTGTCGTCCCAAACACCAAACGACAGCAGGTTTGATTCCTGGTCAGGTCATATACCCACGTTGCAGGTTTGATCCCTGGTCGGGGACTGTACTGGAGGCAACCAATCGATGTTTCTCTGTCACATGGATGTTTCTCTCTCTCTCTCTCTCTCTCTCCTCTCCTCTCTCTCTAAAATTAAAAAACAAATAAAATAAAATCATAGGTGAATTGAATAAATGCACCATACACCTTAAATTCGTAGTCTGACTTAGATCATGTTCAGTCTTAACCCAAGCATTTTACTGAAATACACAAATAAGAAGTAGAAAGTGAGAAAATTTTATTGTTTCTTTAAATCATGACATTTAATAAAAGTAGACCAGAAAGCCTTATAACACTATGAAATTTGCTTCCAATAATGGAATGTTTTAAAATCTAATATTAAATCCTATTCATCTCTAGACTAACCAAATACTACATTCCTGAATCTAAATCGATATAAACATTTTAAAATTAGTTTGGTTGTGATTCAGAAACTGCCATTGTATGTAATATATTATTGTTCACAAAAAGATTAGAAAAAATTTAGTATGACAACTGTTAGAAACTTACTTCAGCGCATTTTGTGTATCTTGTTTCAACTCACTGAAGAATGCTATTTTAAACTGATGCCTAACAAACAGAAGCTGAAAAAAGAATAGAAAAACATCATTATACATATACTCTTAAAAATATAGAAATGTTAATAATTTTTATTAAGAGGAGACATAAAAGTATAAGGAAAATAGTCAAAATTAAAGCTCAAGAATTATTCCAACGAATAGTATAGTTAAGAAGGCTACAAAAATCTATATTTAAGAACTTGAGGGGCAAAAGAGACAAAAACTAATTAGCTTTAAAAAACTTTTAAAATACCAAAGCAATTTAAAAACATCAGAGTATTAAAGACACTATCTCCTTCAAATTAATTTGTTCTAGAATGCTTATTATCTCCTTCTTTAGGAAAAAAATACATACCTGGTGTGTTGTTTTATTCAAAAATTCTTTATGAGATTTCACTCTTCTGATCTCCGTGTAGTAATAAGTCTGTGCATGTTCATAAAAGGCGTTTTCTAATCTATTATTTTAGAAAATAGAAATAACATTTAAACACTAAAGTTATTTTAAACCACAGTTTACCAATCACATTTGTAAGAAATGAAAGTAAAATTATGACGTCTAGTTTACCTCATGATTAAAATAAAGTGAAGCAAAATGTAACTGAATTTCTAGATTTTAAAAAAATCTAAAAATAATACTCCTGAAAAGTCACTTAAAATTATTAGCAATCCAAAAAGTAACAAATAAAAATAACTTTTTATAATCGGTCAGAATTAGGTAACTTCTGAAACTACTTCACACTGAGTGTGAAGACTCACTGATACTCAGCTTTCTTCTGTCTTAAGAGAAAACAGGAGGAGGAGAGTCTAACAACACTCCCCTCGTGTCTGGTGGGCTGCCTTCATGCGCCCTTGCGTACATAGATCCGGAGCACTTGCTTTTACGTCAGACGTGTTAACACTGCTCTCGTTTCACTATTATGACCCCACCACAGTGGTCAAGAGCAGAAGCCACACCTGTTTCTCCTGTATCCGAGACAGTACTAAATTTGAAGGCTGAGAAGGATGGGATCACCAAGCATTAAGGCCGGGCCCTCAACCTCAGTACGATCGATCCATGATGTCCGGACCAGGTAACTGTTGTGTGGGGCTGTCCTGTGCGCTGTAGGATGTACAGCAGCATCCCTGGCCTCCACCCACTAGATGCCAGTATAGGACGCCCTCCGTCATGGCAATTATAAATGTCCCGTCCCCCACGTGCCCCAGAAGACAAAACCAGCCATGTAAGAATCACTGGGTTCAGGTGAAGGTGAGAGGACAATGTCTTGCTAAAGAAGGCTGCATGAGAACTCAGCTCTAAAAGCTGATAGAGCCCAGAAAAGGGGCGCCAGTGTGAAGTACCCACAAGAAGTAGCATTGTGAACACGGAATACTGAAGCGCCGAGGTCAAGGAGGTCATCAGACCCGGCTGGGAGGCTGGGAGGAGCACAGAGGAAGGACAGGCAGTCAGCCTGTGCTGCCAGCTCCCTGGGAATTGCCCCTCTCCTCCCCGTGCTCCCTGTGGGTCATCAGCTCATGTTTAAAAAATAAACCCTTAACCCTTTCCTCTGCATTCTGGGCAGGCACCTCAATTTTATCCTTAGCACTACTGATTTGGCTTTTGGGATATCAATTCAACTTGCATGGAGAGTAATTTTGTTAACTACATTTAACTTTTCTAACAGTTCATCTTTCAATTTGACCCTGCTGCTTTTTCATGCTTTCCTTCTGAATGTATGCTTCTCTTCTTAGAAGCCTTGTCATTTATATTCCAACGAGAATGCTATGTAATTCCCAAGTAGACCACTTTCAGACGTTTGCTTCTGAGAGGCAGAAACCAAGGCAAGAGAAGAGTAATCAAAACTACACTGCTCCTGAGTTTAATAAGGACGCTTAGGCAAAATGAAAGGGAAAACCGTTTTATAGTTAAAATCAATGACAATATTCATATTTAAAACATCCTGGCCAGAATCTCAATACTACAGGACACCTTCTCTGCAACACTAAATGCTAGAAAACAATGGGTAATGGTCACATAATCTGTGAGATAATGCTGCGTCCCCAGGCTCAGATGTGGTGGGGCTCAGGCCCTTCTTAAAAATTATTTAAATATATATATCAACATATTGAAAATGAAGCAAAACACAGGTCAGAAATGGAGACACTGTCATATAAAAGGACAAGCGCATCAGAAAAGGCCATATGGTATTTACTGAGAAATATCATTAAAAAATGTAAATTTTTTTTAATGAAGTTAACCTAGAGGTACCTACGGTGTCAATGAGGTGATGTTATGTGGCAATTCCGTATATGTTGTATGGTTATATTTATTTCTCTATAAAACGGCATTTTTAGAAGGACAGTTACGTTGATCGCGGGACTGCTCCTCAGCCTTTAGGCTTAGATCAAGTGTATTAAGTTGTGACAGTGGTTACCTCAAGGAACTGGAGAAGGCTGAGGAGTTGACAAAGAGGATTTTATTTTTTTATTTCATATCCTCGGTACCACTGGAATTTTTTCCCATGAACATGTTTTTGTTTTTCATTAATAAGTGAGTCTAAAGTACCAATTTCTCAATGCCTAATAAACAATCTAAAGAAAAATAGTCCGTTTACCTTATAATATAGCCCACAAGGTGGTCAGTGTGGGGCAGCACAAACAGAGACTTCCCCGAGAGCTCACACGCATTGCACAGAGCCGCAGCCCGTTCTGAAGCAATAACATCTTCTCCTGATGACAAGACCCACAGAGTTAAAGAGAGCAAGTACTTAACCTGTTCTTCTACAGGAGCATTTCCCCCAATGTGAACGACATAATTAAGACTAAAAACCCAAACCACTTTCACCATGTCAGTAGGACTCCTGGAGTCCTTGAGAGCACTGTGGGCTCTCAGAAGTTACACGGGTACATATTTGTCAGGAAAACACTGTGGAATTTTCTACTGAGCCAAGATAGGCTAAGTCTTGCCAACATATATGCCACATGACTATTTGAAAAACCGTAACTAAACACGAAAGCAATTAATTCATGAAAGTGTATTTAGGATGTTGTAAGTTTCAACACAGAAACAAAAAATATTTTGGCCTCAATATTTTGGTCTGAGAAGGTAGAAGAAAATAAGCATTTGAAACTTGGGTATTTTCTTCTGGGAAATTAGAAATCCTATTGCATTTTTCTTGGCCCTATTACAAATTAAGAAAAAAAATATTACATGAGGAATATAATTTCAAGTAGACCTCAGATAAGTAAACAATGTTGTTGTTTTTTTAAATCAAGTGGATAACTGTTTTGTCAATGGCTATATGCCTACATTGGGAGATAAGTGTCAGGAGAGGGGGAATTAAGAGTTGCACCCTTGCCCGGCCGGTGTGGCTCAGTGGATTGAGCATGGTCTCGTAGACTGAGGGGTCCCGGTTCGATTAACTGGTCAGGACACATGCCCGGGTTTCAGGCTCAGTCCCCAGTAGGGGGTGGGCAGGAGGCAGCCGATGAATGTTTCTCTCTCATACCGATGTCGTTCTCGCTCTCTTCCTTCCTCTCTCTCCAAAAAAAAAAAAAAAATCAATAAAAACATTTAAAAAAAAAAAGAAGAGTTGCACTCTTGAATGTTTTTAATTTTTTTACAATAAGGACTTATGCATGCACTATTAGTACTTTTTAAAGTTAACAGACCATCTTTCCAATAACTGAACGCACAAAAGATTTCAACATTAAACTTTATGCTTCTTGATAATAAGAATTGGAGGTATAAAGCAATTAATTAGTTATTAATTAACTTTTTGATACCTGGGGGCAAAGGGGTTTTCTTCTGAATCAGAACCACTGCAACTTTCGTGTTTCTCCCTTGTAAACTTTGTCTGCAATGGAAAAATGATAACATTAATTAAATAGTTTTTAAAAAATATATTCAAGACTTTATATCAAATACGAGTTTGATAATTCAAAGAAGATAAATTTCAACTAACCCCCCCCAATCAGAGGAAATCTTTTCCTGCATACAGACAAACATATATGCCACAATAATTTAAATTTCAAAAATATAATCTCACATCAAGTTTCTAATCCTTACAAAAGTCTGTTTTGAAAGCAAAACTTTAACATATACTTTCATGTAAAAGTTATAATACAGTATCTTCATAGCGATACATTACAGAGTGGTCACTTAAAAGAATTATTTTGGAACTCAAATGGCAATAAAGCAAAAGTGTTATGAATCTAAAGAGCAAGTCACTGTATCTTCAAAAAATATTATTATAAATGCAAGAAAGAGCTTTTGGAAATTCAGACCAATTTGTCTTCTGATTTCTTCATTATATAAGTTAACATTAATGCTTCCTGTTTCGAACTAAACACATTTCACTGGAGGTCAGCAATCCCCAAAATGACCACAGAGGTCCTAACAGCACCCAGTTGCCTACAATAAACCTTGGTCAACAAGAGACATGTACACCCTAACCGGGCCAATCTGACAAACGAAGACCAAACCTGACTATTTCCACTCTGGTAGCGCACTCTGACTGCTTTTCCTTCCACTGGGGCTCATCCCAGTCCAGTTCATAGAACACAACCACCAGGGCTGGCACCAGGTTCAGGTGCTTATTCATCCAGCCAGTCTTTAGGATCCCTTTCGGAATGTACCATTCATAAGAAGTTCTCTGCAAATATTGGCAAAAGTTGAAGAATTACTATATGATAACAGCAGCCAAAACCACCTGTTCTTGAGCCCCAGGCACTTTATTGGCATTTTTATTTCATTCAGTATATACATGAGCCATTTTTAATAAGATGAGGAAATCCCAGTTTAAAGAGATCAAATAAGAGCTAGAAAGTACTAAAGGTAGAATCTCAACCCCAGAGATGAGACGATTTCCATTTAAAAAATGACCAAAGCCGCCTTGGCCGGGGTGGCTTAGTTGGCTGGGCATTGTCCCATACACAGAAAGGTTGCTGGTTTGATTCCCAGTCAGGGCACATGCCCAGGTTTCAGGCTCGATCCCCACTAGGGAGCTTGCAGGAGGCAGCTGATCGATGTTTTTCACTCTCACATCAAAGTTTCTATATCTCTCTCCCTTTCCCTTCCTCTCTCTCTAAAAATCAATTTTAAAATATTTTTAAAATATGTAAATAAATAAATAAATAACCAAAGCCAAGAGTTTCTAATGCTGTCAAGGCTCTCAAATACCCAGGAAGCAAAGAGCCCTTTTCCAGGTAAATTCAACTCATATTCCTCACCATTCCAATTTCTGTTTTGTAAAAGCTGCTCAAACTATTTAAAACCCAACATGGCTTCCTCGGTTGCAAGACACATTGCCAGAACGTCATTTCACCTCACTTGCAGATGAAGGAAGAAATGGACAGTTCTTAAACACAGAAACATGACAACAGTCACTCAGGGGTCAGCACTAAGCGCCAGGTCATGGGAAGGGGATGTGGTAGTTGCAAGTATTAGCCCCGGAGCACTCAGCGGAAATTTCAAATTACTTCCTAAGCATCTGCACTGACTCAGACGACTCCAGCTCATGTTGGTCTAATGTCTACTTCAAATGAGGAATGACCAGAACAGTAAGAAAACCTGACGGAGAAAAACCTGGGGACTCAGGAAAGAACTGGGAAAAGTTAAATAAAAGGCTTCTACATCGGAGAACCAATCAAGGAGAAAAGGGGAGTGAGCTGTGCGGGGCCACTGGCCTTTCCAGACACAAACACCACATAAAAACAAAATATGCCTAAGAGGGGGGTGCTATTACTTGCACACTTTCAGACAGAGCTCAGTTTTTAGGGCTTGGCATGTGAAACTGTGTCTCCAGTGTGTGGTTCTCAAACACATAAGCAAAAGAATCAGCTGGTGACCAAAACCGTAAGTCTCACCCTCCCAGAGTTTAATTGAGGAGGCCTGGCATTTACATTTTTAATAAACACCCCAGCTGATGATGATGTACTTGGTCCGGAAGCCAAACTGTCAGAAACACTACTCTAGGGAAAAAAAAAATTGTAAGAGAGGGTAGGGGTATTTTGATCAATGTGCCTTGTTAATTGACTTTCAGACCAACCTCCTAAGATTACAATAACAAATCAATATATATAACTTTCTTAAAAGTAAATTGACATACTAAATACTATATATGTATTAGCTATGATTTTTAATATTATATCATTATAATTATTATTTTTCTAGGTAAACCAGAGTCTCTTCTTTGATGCTCACCCTAAATGATAATTTCACCCTGGCAGGTTTGGCTTAGCAATGGAGTGTCGGCCCACGGACCAAAGAGTCATGGGTTCGATTCCGGTCAAGGGCATGTACCTCTGTTGTAGTTCAGTCCCAGGCCCTGGTCTGGGTCGTACAGGGGACAACCAATCGATGTGTCTCTCTCAAGTGGATGTTTCCCTCTCCCCCGCCCCACTCTATCTGAAGATAAAAACGGAAAAAAAGTATCCTCAGGTGAGGATTAAAACAAAAAGATAATGTCAAATTTAACACTTTCCTCATTCCACACTGAATACACTGTTTTTAGTTCCATTAGAATTCCACAAGGACAGGGAGCATCTCTCATTTACATACCACCAGCCCTGGCAGGTTTGGCTCAGGGATTAGAGCATCACCCCCAGGACCAAGGAGTCTCAGGTTCAATTTGTCAAGGGCATATACTTTGGTTGCAGTTTGTCCCTGGCCCTGGTCAGGGTCATGTGGAAGGCAATCAGTCGATGTGTCTCTCTCACATCAATGTTTCTCTTTCTCCCTCCCTCTCACTCTATCTGATGATAAATAGAAAAATATCCTCAGTTGAGGAATAAAAAAAATTCTGTCTCCAGCCTATCACATAGTTCCAAGTACCTAACACAAAGCAGGTGCTCAAAAAATGTGTATGAAACCAAACCAAACTGTAAAGACCACGGAGTCTATAACAATAATAGTAACGATGAACGGGAAATGTGAAACCTTCCTTTTAGAGAGGCCTTTATGAAGACTTGGGATATTTTTTTTAACAAATGAAAAAAGGATAGGATAAAAACCCTAGTAATTATAAAGGTTATAAAAAATAACTATTATTGAACATACCTATAGTGTATTACAGACATAAAAAAATCCCAGAGTTTTCTATATGCATCACTATAAACATCACCTTGATAAACTCAAGGGTTTTCCAGCACAGACAATAGGAACAAGAAAGATATACCCACACACAGAGGGAGAGAAGGAGATAAGAAGAGCCCCTATGTAATCATGATGCCATTACCTTGGGTCTACATTTGGGATACTCATGGTCACCTGGGAGCACCTTGAAAGAAATGGGCACCCGATCAGCCCTCCGATTGGCACAGAAAGCATCCCAGACAGCTCGATGGACAGCATTATAAACCACATCCAGGCCGGTAAGAGTAACAAAAGCCATAGGCCGACAACATAATTCCACAGGGAAGTCCCACTGTGTGGGACTCATGTTCAAGGTGTTACAAAAAATCTGAAATACAAATGTTGATACATAATAATTTTTTAAAAGCCCATATCCATTTCTAATATATGACCCATTTAAAAACCATTATAAAAAAACAAAAGACTTTGAAGTGTCAGCAAACTGTTCAGCAGATACAAAATTTTTGAAAACTTTAATTCCTAAATTGACCTATTTAAATTTGGTAACTATCGGTATTGTATTTGTTTTACTCATATTACAAAGGTAGCCAACTTTAAGACAAATCAGTATTTTCATTAACATCTCAAAATGCACACAGAACTTTGGGATGAGCAGACTAAGAATGGAGGAATGCCATCAAATTAAAATAGGTCCCATGACCTACTTCAGCTACAGAGAAAAATAATTATTGACTTAGATATATAATAAAGTATAATTATCTCTAATTTCTGCTAACATCTAATTCCTGAGATATTATTAAAATAACATGCTAATTATCTAAATAGAGTCAGTTCTCAGTGTGGCAGGTGTCACATCTGCAGATTCAACCCTGCAGTGTAGCCTACATGCATTTTCTAGCAGTCCCACTAAAATAAACAGAAACAGGTGGAGTTAATTTTAATAATATTCTACTTAACCAACATATCCAAAATATTACCATTTCACCATCAATATAAAAGTTATTAATAAGATAGTTTACTTTTTTGTACTAAGTTTTCAAAATTTGGTGTGTATTATACACTCACAGCACATCTCAGTTGGGTCTAGCCTATGTCAAATGCTCAGTAGTCACAAATTGGACAGCACAGTTCTACATTATTGTAATTCTGTCCCAAATAATTACCTTATGAAAACTGTATCAGAAATTCTTGCCACATTCTATCTTAAAAGCTTTGGCACTTGAAATGGGTCGTGCTTATTCTGCAGCAAAGGAATGGGAATGGCAAAGGACAGGTACAGAGGTCGTACGGATCTCGATGACAGCCTGTAGGAGAAATTTCTTCGTCTCCTGGAACCAATGACGTGGAAGGAGACGCAGAAACAGCAAGTGAACACCCTGGCCGGGAGACCATGTAGTGCAAGGGAAATAACCTGGAAGCTGGCACGGAAAATAATAAGGAAGACTCTTAGAGAGGATGTTGACACAGTGCAAAGAAAGGCGACCTACTCAAAGTGGGAGATAAATTTATGTAGTCACTATTTTTTAATTAACGGAGGTTCAGGGTGTAGGACAAAGCTAGTAAGAATAAGATTCAAATAAGTTCAACTATAAAATGACCAAAAGAAGAACGACCATTTGAGGGCTGAATGATGAAAAAAAAAAAAAATCTTATGTTGATGTGAAGCGACAACTGATTTAAGAAAAGGTACCGTCCCAGGGTTGCAAATTCAGGAAAAGCGAAGAAGTAATGCTGCAGCCCTCAAAAGCAGGCTCTCTCTTCCTCCCCAGCCCCGCTCAAGGGGCTGAGAGAGAAATGCCGGAATTGCACCCGCTGACACCTCTGCAAAACGCAGGCCTCTGGAATCAGCATTGTTAAGAGCTAGCTCGGCGGTGACGCCTGGCCCCGCAGGTCTCCGGGCCCGGACTCACCCAGGCCGCACGCACCAGACCCGCTGCAGCTGTGGCCGGTCGCCCCCAGCCTAGGGAGGACGAGGAGAAGCAGACAGGGGTGTCCAAGTACGCCGGGCCCGTTCCTGAAGCCACCGCCTCAGAGCCGGTTCCAGGGAGCAACACTTCCCTCTGCTCACCTGCGCACGCACAGGAAGCACTTTCTGGGCCTGAGTGACAGCGCTCTAAACCAATCGCTACCCAGGAACTTTACGCTGCTTCCACAAAACGTAGGGAAGACGCTCCATTTCCTAGAGGAGCAGGAGCTGGGCGGAGAGAGAAGGAGCCAATAGGAGAAGCGAAACGAAAGAGGAGGCGGGGCTCCTGCCGTTACTGCTCTGCTGTCTCTCCCCAGACACGGGCTCCCTGCCTGCCATGGCCCCGGGCTCCGCGCCCACAGCTCTTCAATAGGCGGCTTCACGCTGCCCGTGGGCCAGTGGTGCGCGTGACTGTCGTCTGCGGTGCGAAGGGTGCCTCCCGCAGCCGAGGGGCGGAGCAGGGGCGCACCGGCCTCGGGACCCCTAATCGCGCTTTCTCCTCGTAGACTAACGCCGTCTGCCCGGGAGGCGCCCTGCAACCCGCGCGATGAGTGCCAACGAAGACCAGGAGGTGAGTCCCGGGGCTGCACGCCCCTTTTCCCGCGCAGGCGCGGTGCCCAGCCCCGAGGGAGGGAAGCCGGCTGCCCCCGCGCCCCGGGCTCAGGTGAGACCCGGCGCCCTGACAAACCGCCCCGCACGTGCGCTCGCCCCGGCAGGGACAGAGCCTGGCTGGGTGCCCCAGGGTGACCGGTGCCCTGCGAGCAGAGGCGCTCGCCCCGGCAGGGACAGAGCCTGGCTGGGTGCCCCGGGTTGACCGGTGCCCTGCGAGCAGAGGCCAGGCGTGTGTCCACCTCTCCCCTCTCGTCCCCCACCCCACCCCCCAGTTGTCAGTTTTCGTCGTTCCGGGGTCGCCCCAGGTCTCCTTAATCGCTAGAATGCGTGTCCTTGGTGGATTTGGGTCGCCTTAAATCCCGTGTGTTGTTCAGTTAGCGCTTGTTAACCGAGTTATTGCTGATGAGACTCTGACCACCTTTAAATTTTAATTCTGTTGGCATGGAGGGAGGGCAATTAAGTTAAATTTCTGATGGCGGGAAATAATGACACTAGTATTGTTTGGTGGAGTTACTTATCCATCTGATAGTTGTCTATTTTGAGTATACATCAAGTTGAAGGGGGTGTGTCATCTCGAGCGGAAACTTCTGATTTTGAAATGTGGACGAAGGAGGAGAAGGTCTACTAAGGTAAAGGGATGGTCCCCGCGCTGCGCTGGTTACAATCAGGACCAGAATCGGAGTTGCCTAGACAACGAGTATAGTTCCCTATTCATTTAGAATATATTGCTTGAAAGTGAGCACTTTTACACAGAATCTCTGAATTTAAGTTAACCTTTAAAGGACCCAAAATCCAACAAGCTAATTGGTATCTGGATCTCTTCTGAAATATTCTTTCCAGGTTAGTTTCTAAGCCAAGACATGAAGAGTTCTTAGTGTGAAGCATGGAGCACAGGGTAGTGTTTCTCAAAGTCTGGGCCATCCGTGGACCACGGCCTTGGAACAGTTTGGGTGGTTGCTAGAAAAACAGAGGCATGCAGCTGCCCCAGATCTACTGAATCAGGATTCCTGTGGTGGGGCACAGGGATCTCCATCTTTAACAAGAACATTTCGTTCTTCTTCCACATGACTGATTTTTCCAGATCTTTGAAGACAGGTTTCCTGCCCCATGTCCCAGACCTCCCTTCTCTTCTCATACTAAACGGTGTGGGGGTTTTTTTAGCTTTTCTCCATGTCCTTTTTTTTTTTTTTTTCATTCTCCTGGAATCCTGTGTTTGTGGTCAGATTGTAAATTTGTTTACATCCTGTTTTAAATGGTGGCATCACAGTTCTCTAACGTTAGATTTACTGTGGACTAAAACCCCTTAAGTGCTTTATGCAAGGTGGTTGGTCTTTCACCTTCTACTTGTATGTTTAGGTATCAAAGGACTTGAGCCTGTTAAGTTTCATCTTGTTAGACTATTTTGCAAGGGCTTTTTGAATTCTTGTTCTGCCACTAGCATGATTCACTGTCCCATTTCATTGTCATCCACAAATTTGGCAAGCCTGTCTTCTACTTTTGTTCCAGTCCAGGTAGGTCATTAATTAAAATATAGGAAAGGATTGTGGACCGAAAGAGTAGCACTATATTTTGAGTAAGTTTGTTCCAATCTAATCTTTTCAGGTATTCTTTTTTTTTTTTTAATTATTGATATTTAGAGAGAGAAAGGGAGACAGAGAGAAAGAGAGAAACATCAATGTAAGAGCATCGATCGGCTGCCTCTCGCTCACATCCTGACCAGGGACCCAAACCTGCAACCTGCGTATGTGTCCTGATCGGGAATCGAGCCCACCACTTTTTGGTGTTTGGGACAGTGCTCCAACACTTCTCGGTTATTCTCGAATCCACTTTGAATTTCTGTAAAAGGAGCGAGGGAAATCTGTGGAGCCTCACTGTGATCCAGGTGGACTGTTTCATGCCTTTCCCGAATGTACCAACAAAGCTACCCTCTCTAAGAAGCGTTTCCATAGATCTTGTTTTTCATATGCTTGCTAGGTCTTAAGAACTACTGCTTACTCTTCCAGGTCCTCACAAACACTTTCTTTAATAATCTGTTCTAAAATTTTGTCCACAAAAATCAGATTCACCCATCTTTTGTTTGTAAATTTCATGGCATGCATTTTTTGAAAGCTGAACTGTGTGTCCAAGTGCAGTCTTTCCTTGCTTCTCTTCTCAGGTGTTCAGTAATCACAACAGCAATTGAGTCTTCTCATCTGCAAGCCACAGTGTTTTAAGAAATATTTCCAGGCAAGGATTATTAGTTACATTTTCTCTTACAGTCCTTTTTCCCATCATGGGTAGATCCTTGTCAACCTTTTTATATCATTTTTTCAGTTATTTTTGTTGTCCTTAAGTGTCTTTTCAAGTTTTGCAAATATAAGATATATAAGTAATGTTTTCTCACACTCTGGCTGAGTGTGCTCTGGAGTTGCTTTAAACCAAATTGTATTTCCCCCCTGGTATGAAGGAGAAATAGTGAGATTTTCTTCACAGGATTGATGTGAGAATTAAGTGAAATAATACACTGTAAACTGCTTCGCAGTGCCTGGCACATAGTTTTGAAGTATTAGTATCAGTATTATTGTGATGTGTTGGTATATTTATGTATATTTTAAACATCTAAGACCAGATAAGTTAGTCAAGTTTTACATAGTTGAGTGGGCTTGAATCAGAAAGTAAAGACTCTATTTCTGATCCATTTATACCACTAAACAAAACACATTTGATTCATTTCTTTCAGATGGAACTGGAGGCGTTGCGTTCTATATATGAAGGAGATGAAAGTTTCCGGGAATTAAGTCCAGTTTCATTTCAATATAGGGTAAGATGTAGCATGAGTAGGAGCATTTCCTACTTTGCTGGAAAAGATTAAATGTTGCTAAAAATGCTGATTTTGTTTTCAAATTTAGTGGTTTGGATTTCTTATGTCTTTGGATTTTCTGAAGACATATCACCATGACATCAGTTATTTTTAACTCTTGAAAATGTAATTCAGAAACTTTTAAAAACTAACATAAACTTGCTTTTATTGTACCAGAATTATAAAATGTTACAGATGAAAAAAAACCTATTCAATTATGTGGTTTTACTTTGTAATCTGAAAGATAACTTTTCTCAGTCAAAAATTCCCAAGCTCCTGTAGCTGATATTGATAAATATTAGGATGAAAATCTAGGTCTCTATTCCAAGTCTACTATTTTTTATTACCTTATGATATAGTCAAGAAAAGTTGATAAGTTGATATTTTCTTAATTCTGTATGAATATTTTTTTTTTTAATACTAACCCGAGGATATTTTTGTATTTGTCTTCAGATAGAGCGGGAGGAAGAGAGAGAGGGAAACATCGATGTGAGAGAGACATATCGACTGGCTGCCACCCACACAACCCCAATCAGGGCCAGGGACAAACTGCAACTGAGGTACGTGCCCTTAGCAGGAACCGAACCTGGGTCTCTCTGGTCCACGGGCCGACACTCTAACCACTGAACCAAACCAGGCAGAGCTGAATACTTTTTACATATGTGAAATGTCGATTTTTCTCTAACTTGGAAATTGCTCATTACCCTGTTTTCATCATGAAACAGTACCACTGTTTCATAAACAAATAATATAAACCATTTCTTCAAATGGTTATAAATAATAATGGTATAGGAAAGGTTTTTTTGTGAAAGATTTATGGTTGTTGACATTGTCACTATTTAAAATAAGTTGTATGAGAAACGACCCTTATACATGAGTATTGTAGACTATCACAGGAAGTGCATTCTTATGGTTACCTCCTTTGGACTCTCCCCTCTCTTCTCAGCTCTCCTCAGTTCTTTTTCAAGTTCAACAGTCCTCACACCATCTCCATGCAGGTAACAAAAAAAGAGACTTGTAATAGCCAAAGTTGATCATGGAGTGAAGTCCTGGGCCTTTCTCTTTGTCTCTAACTGCTCCCCAGATTTCCCAACCACGGCTGCCATCCCCGCAGCAAATGGAAGATTGAGCTTCCCCTGCACTTTCCCAAGTGTCTGTGTTAACAACAGTTCTTTGTTGAGCGCAGCGTGCAAGATGTTGTAGGACGTGTGTGTCCTGTAGCATGGACACTCTGATGTGACCCATAAGGTGCATTTAAGGGGAATGAAACTCGGGGTTCAGAGATGGTGTGTTGGGTGTCAGATGACCGGGGGTGCAGTTCTGGCTGTGTCCTGGTCCAGTCCCTGGGTTCCTGTACAGCTAAGTGGCCTCCTGAATGATCCCCCCTTTGCAGAGCTTCCTGCAGCTTCCTGTCCATGCAGCGCGGCAGTCCTCCCACAGACTGCTGGTTAGCCCTCTAAACGCACAGTTAGGTACCCCATTCCTTTGTTTTGAAGGTTTCGCCATGTTTCTCTCGCCTGTAGGCTGAGGGTTAAATCCCTATGTTGACACTCAGGCCCTTTTGTTTGATTCAAATTGCCTCTCCAGACTTTCCCAGCCACTGCCATCCATTCGACATAATGGCTTGTTCAGTGTTTCCGTGCGTGTTCTTTAATACTGTGCTTTGGACACATCATTTGCTCTTCCCTCAGCTCGAATCCATCGGCCATCCTTCTCCTTTGACGCCTGACTCAGGCCTCCTCTGTGACATATTTAGGCGGTGTTCTCTCTCTCCCCTAACTTCAAAGCAGAATTGACCATTGCCCGTTTCGTCATACTTTGTTCTGCCACTTTCGAACTTCTAGTCATCCTGCAGTTTAGTGCTTTATCTGGATGTCTATCTCCCCTGAAGACAGGAATGGTTTTGTCTCCATCTTTGTTGTCTTTGGTACCTAGCACAGGGAGGGTTGGCAGTGGTTTCTACATGCACCTGAAGTAAGGACTTAGTGATTGCATAAAGCAAGTAACTTTTGTTACTTTTTAATGATCTCTAATTTAAATAAAATACAAGCATACAAGTCGGCGTTAGCTCAAGCGGTTACTTCGTCATGGCAGACACTAAAATACAAGCATAAAATGATGATGGCCATTATGCAGGTATCAAATTATACAGGTGTGTCAACAGATCCCTGTGTTTATTTGACATGATTCTCAAGCCCCATCTTGTATTGGTATGGGGTGTGATTGAGGGGGAGGGGTGGATATAAAAATTAATCATCAGGAAATAAAAGTGAATCAAACAACAATTTGAGGTGAAAAATTTTTTAATTGTATTGCTGATGTTTAAAAATAGTTATTTAAGCCCTGTCTGGTTTGGCTCAGCAATTGGAGCGTCCACCCATGGACCAGAGTGTCCCAGGTTCGATTCTGGTCAAGGGCACATACCTTGGTTGTGGTTCGGTCGCCAGCCCTGGTCGGGGTCATGAGGGAGGCAACCAGGCAATGTGTCTCTATCACATTGATGTTTCTCTTTCTCTCTCTCTTTCTCCCTCCCTCCCTCCCACTCTATCTGAGGATAAGTGGAAAAATATCCTCAGGTGAGGATTAAAAAAATAATAATTTTAAAAAGCAGCACATATACTAAAAATATTACAGAAGAGATTAGCATAGCCCTGTGCATGAACGAGATACTGATTTATGAATCATTTCATAGTTTTATTTGAAAATCACCATTTTGCAGCCACCAGGGTGATGATTGTTTCAGACAATCACTGGGCTCATTAATGTATGCTAAAACCGTAGGTGAAAGTTGTTGAGAAACAAGATACACACAAGTTGATAGTATCGCGCCACAGATTACTCCTTAATTACAAAATGAAAAGGATACCTTTACGTCGAAGAAATCTGGAGAACATCAGCTTGACCAAGTGGTCAGACGTGGATGTTGTCACAAGTGGTGATGCCAGACGATCTTACCTGCCTCCAGATATGTTGCTATGGCAATTGTCCACACCAAAACCATTTAATCTGAATCTGAACAGAGGAAACCACCAGACAGTCCTGATCTGGGGATAGTATACAAGAAACCTGGCCTCGATTCTTTTTGTCACAAAAGACATATAAAAGGCAGAGGAGCCCTGGCCAGTTTGGCTCAGCAGTTAGTGTCAGCCCACGGACCAAAGAGTTGTGGGTTCAGTTCTGATCAAGGGCATGTACCTTGGTTGAGGTTCACTCCCTGGCCTTGGTCAGGGTCATGCAGAAGGCAACCAGTCGATGTGCACCCCCCCCCACACACACACACACACACTCTATCTGAAGATAAAGGGAAAAAAATCCTTGGGTGAGGATTAAAAATAATAATAATAAAATAAAAGTGAGGGAAAAAAGGCAGGGAAGAGGACTGGAGACTGTTCTAAATGAAAGCAGAATAAAGAGATTTGACAACCACATATAATCCATGATCCTCAATGGATTATGGATTTGTGGTTTGAAGAGGCAGTTTACTATAAGACACTAGATATGATTGGGGAACTTTTACTAAGGATTATGAATTAGATTATATTTTTTTATCGGTATTGAATATCTTGGATGTCATAAAGGTATTGTGGTTATAGAGGAGAACATCCTTATTGTTAGGATACTTTATCATAAATATTTGAGAACATTTCATGGTGTCTGCAGTTTACTTTCAAATGGTTCCACAAAAACCAAAGGAAAAAAGTCTCACAAATAATTGGAAAGGGGAGTGATTCTGTAAGGGAGAGGAAGAAGGAGAAAGTAGAGTAAAATACAATACGCATCAGGGAATGTTTATTGTTCTATTCCAGTTTCTCTATAAGATTAAAATTTTTCAAAATAAAAAGTTCAGGAGAACAAAAGAAACGTAAAGTGAAGAGAGTCCAAGGGTACACACCTTCAATTATAAATAAGTCATGGGCTGGAGGTCAGGTACAGCATGGTGACTATAATTAATGGTACTGTATTACATATTTGGAAGTCGCTGAGAGAGTAGATCTTAGTAGTTCTCATAACAAGGGAAAAAAAGTATAACTAGGTATGGTGACAGATGTTAACTAGACTTATTGTGGTGATCATTTCACAATATGTACAAATATTGAATCATTGTTAGGCACCTGAAACGAATACAATGTTATAGGTCAGTTATACCTGGATTAAAAATAAATAAATAAAAAGAAAAAAAAATTGCCCAGCCAGCAGTGGTTGAACATCCACCCATGCACCAAGAGGTTACCCATTCAATTCCTGGTCAGGGCACATGCCCAGCTTGTGGGCCAAATCCCCAGTGGGGGCCATGCAGGAGGCAGCCAGTTGATGTTCTCTCTCATCAATGTTTCTATCTCTCTCTTCCTCTTTCTTCCTTTTTCATTAAAATCTATAAAGAGAAAAAAAATTAAAAGAAAAAAATTATTCAGGAGTTGCCTGTCCAGCCTAAAGTATTATGTTTCCTCATCTTGCTTTTTCCCTTTTTTCCTAAATTTTACATTTCATTTTCAAGTCTCTTGGGATTGTGCTAATGCACATCACTTTACTTGTTCTTAATGCCCCTTATGATTTAGCTATTGGAAAACTCAAGACAAAGATGAGATGTTTCAGGTTTGTGGATTATTATTTTTGTCCACTCTCAGTCCCCACAGTTGATGTTTTATTTATCCTCAGAAAACTTTGATGAAATAAAAGCATAGTCTTGGTACTGGAAAGAGCTGGAGGGCTGGTCAGAGAGACAGGCCATGGACATCAGCTAAAGCTGTTAAAATATACTAGGAATGAGTTAAAAGTCAGACTCTACATTGCTTTCACCCCCTGCTGGGTCTTAGACTGTACCCCTAAACTTTTCAAACTTACATTTCTGACCTGATCATGAGCATTGGAAAGTATTCGTTTTGAAGATTATAATTTAATATTCGGTCCTTGTATCACTTTTACAAATCTAAGATTTCCCTTTTCTTCAGATAGGTGAAAATGGTGATCCCAAAGCCTTCTTAATAGAGATTTCATGGACAGAAACATATCCACAGACACCTCCAATAATATCTATGAACGCTTTCTTTAATAACACCATGTGAGTAGTGTTTTATTTTCATTGGGTTTTTTTTTTAATACTCTTTTGCTTTTCTCTTAGCAGTATATTTCTTGTGCATTGTAGATCCTCAGCTGTAAAGCAGAGCATATTAGCCAAGTTACAGGAAGCAGTGGAAGTTAATCTCGGCACCGCTATGACCTACACGCTGTTCGAATATGCCAAGGACAACAAGGAGCAGTTCATGGAGAATCACCATCCTGTCAATTCTACGGTGAGTGTGCGGTTCGTTTTTTGCCAGATTTTTTTATTATTTTGATTTTTCTGTTAGTAATTCATTTTTACTAGTTGTTAGTTTTTAATTGGAAGGAGACTTTGTGTTAGTTTCAAGTGAGTTACATCTGAGTTAAATAAGAACAATGAATTTTAGATTTCTTAGCTTCTATGTAATTTTAAAAATTAAATTATACTCTCTAGATTTTGCCCTTCCTATAAGACTAGACTACTTCATATGCCCACCAAAACCATATTTTTCTAGTTTATTTAATCTCATAAAGCTCAAAAAGAGAATTTTTTATGTAGAGCTAAAATATGTATAAAAATTTTTATGCAGATGATTTTATTATAAATAGTCTTGCCACCGTTCAATCTGAAAGTATTGCAGCTTAAGGGCATTTTACTAAATTGGAAAAGTGTCTACTTTTTCTAGAATTACTTTAGGAAAGAAGCATCTGTCACGACCATGAGCGTCTGTGCATTAGCCCTTTGCACCATGGCCCGCGCTACAGACTTCCTGTGGTCAGCGCTGAGTTTGGTCTGTGAGCCAAGCTGCACACTTTGACAGCAAAGGCCTTGGCCTGCACTTGAGTGGTCTGGCTCCCACGTTCCCAGTGGGGCACAGAACACGGAGAGGCAGCCGGAGGAGCAGTGAGAGTGGGGGCTGTGGCCCAGGACTGGGGGCCAGACCATGTGGGTTCAGCCCCTCCCAGCATACTCACTGGGGCACTTTGGGTAGGTTTTGGATCTCACTGTGCTGTTTCTTCATCTGTGAAGTGGCAGTTATAATGGTATCTGCCTTACGAGACTGTAGTGGGGATCAAGGGAGGATGAATGTGCGACATCTGTAGCGATGCTTGTGCCTGGGAAGCATTTTAAATTTTGCCTATCGTAAACTCGGGCTATGTGAACCGAAATACAGGGGTGGGCAGAAGGAGGCTTACAGTGGTAATGCCAATAGTAACAGTAAATAGGAAATAGTAACACAAGAATAAACTGTCACGTACTCACAACTGTAAACTTACTTTTGCCCACCCCGTATTTCAAGGATTTCCTTCATTTCTTCAGAGAAACAGGATAATCTAAGTAGGCACATGTGATTTTTCTGAAGATGTATTTAAACTTCCAAATGATAGCAAATTAAATTGGGAAACGACCTTGGAACTTCACAGCTTCAGCATAATGCTGGTCTCGGACCCTTCGGAGGGACCTAGTGGTACAACTGCTAATGTTGTGTCTCAGTGTGAACTTTTACAAGAGTGACACCAATGTGCCAAGTTCTCCTGAAGTAATAAATGAACATAACAGCGCAGGTTTCTTTTAATTCACAAATCTAAACATTATCAACCCCTTTCAGGATGTGGCCATATTGAGGTAATTCAATAAGTTTTAAGGCATGGGTCTAAGAATTTTTTTTTTCTAGACACCAATAAGCAATATCATCTCAGTGGAAACTCCTAATATAGCCCCATCAAGTAAGAAGAAAGACAAAAGAGAACAACTTTCAAAAGCCCAGAAACGTAAGCTGGCAGATAAAACAGGTTTGTGTTCATTTTTTTCCTTTTCTCACGTCTTGCGTTGCCTTTTAGTGTGACGTGAGTACTTAATAAGTGTGTTTCCATTTGGGTCAGAGACAATGTCAGGTCACAGATGTGTATTGAAAATATTTTCTACTTCACAAGAGAGAACCATTTGAGAAGAAGGTAGGTGGACGGCAGAATAGCTCTAAAGGAGGCCTGACTCCGGAACACCGAATAGTGTACAAACGCGTGTCCTGCCGGTGCCCTCTCTGGATGTGTGGGGTTTTCCTCTGTTTACCGTGGTGGCAGATATGTGTATTATTGAAAACTTTTTCAAATAGAGCTTTCATATGAAATGAAGTCTGCTACACCATTAGATCTTAGCAAAATAAATATTTTAATGTTTGTGTCTATAGTTGACTTATTTATACAACAATAAAACTTAAGAATAAAATTTTTGTGTGACTTAAACCAGAATCATTTAGTATGGACCTTTAGAAGAGTTTTATAAACTCCAGTTAATATTTTACCCCTTTTTTTTTTTTTATCCTCACCCAAGAACATTTTTGCATTTATCTTCAGACAGAGCGGAAGGGAGAGGGAGGGGAAGAGAGGGAGAGAAACATCAATGTGAGAGAGACACATTGACTGGTTGCCATCCACACGACCCCAACCAGGGCCGGGGACAAACTGCAATCGAGGTACATGCCCTTAGCGGAAATTGAACCTAGGACTCTGGTCCGCAGGCTGACACTCTAGCTGCTGAGCCAAACCATCCAGGGCCACCCCTTTTCTTTATTTAACCCAAAACATTACAGATTGCTATCAGTGTGTAAACCTTTTCCCTGGTTAAGGAAATGAGGATGATCCCATGCCTGTATACATTTATCCTTACGTCCGTATGTGTGTGTTACTGGGGTGAGGTTACCAGCTGCTCTTTATTGAGAAGAACTGACCCTTTTACTTTGGTGAGGGGGTTTAAAATAATGCCCTTTGTTTTATAAAATGGTATTAGTAGTTGTTTGATTGTCTATGTTTTGTTTAATGCCTGTGGCAGAATAAAAAGATAGCAATCCTGTATTGACCCTCAAAATACATTTTTGAAATGTTAATGGTTTGTAAAATAAAGCCTGGGAGTCCATCATACCACAGTCAGAGCAGCACTAAGGTTCAGCATCAACAACTGAAGCCGTGAACCGTTAGCTGTTCCAGTCTGTTTTCTACAGTTTCGGTTTATCACTTTTGGAATGTTTAGCATCTGTTCATTACCTGTTACTTTTGTCCATGGAGACCTCTGATCATTCCTTTGTAGCAATACCTCCCTACCTCCATCTTCTTGATGCCCACCCAAAAGTCACTGTCTTCCTGTGAGTATGGTATAGGACTTTGGACTTGGAGCTTGCGTTCTAAGTAGAACTGTAGGGAGACAGTCACGGATGGCTCTGTGGGTAAGGCTTAGTTCCCAGGACTGGTGCTCTGCCTCCATGCCCCTCACAACTGTAATCGGAGGGAGAAGATTCTTCTTGGCATGAAGGAGCAAAGAGCCATTAGCATCTAAAATTGAGCTCCAGTAATACTGCTTCTCTCCTATAAGAATCATGGAGTTAGTTTTTGTTTCCCTTGCTATAAAATTAATGTATTTGTTTCGAATACAGATTTTGAACGTTTTATAAAATGAGACCTACAGATATATCAAGCATAAAGGAAATCAAGCCATTTTAAATTGAAAATATTTTAGGTTGTATTTATTTACTGAACTATTTCTTACATTTGAATATTCTGTTAAAAGAATGAAATTCTTTTACTTTGTAAATTTTAAATTCTTATACAAAGTTAAGCTTCTTTTCAAGCACTCCCAACAGATTAACGCCCTGTTTTAAAATCCTCAGCTTGCCCGGCCAGTGTGGCTCAGTGGATTGAGTGTGGACCGTCTCATGGACTGAGAGGTCCTGGTTCAATTCCCTATCGGGGCACATGCCTGGGTTTCAGGCTTCATCCCCAGTAGGGGGTGTGCAGTAGTTTCTCTCTCCTGTGAATGTTTCTCTCTCTCTCTCTCTCTCTAAAACAATAAAAACATTTTTTTTAACTGTAAGATTAAATAATGTATATTTTATCAGAGCACAGAAGTTAATTAATGATAAGTTGACCAAGCTTCTTAATCTTGAAGCCAAATGCCTGAGTCAAGCTTCCTAGTGTGAAGCACTAACACATGAAACAGTAAATACAGCTGCTTACTTAAATAAGCAGTGACGTTGTAAAAGCAGTCAAGTCTGTGTACAAGTGCATGAAACTGATAACTTGATCAGTTTCTCTTCCTAGCACTACCAGGTCATCTCTATATCTAATCCTTGATAATTAGGTTTCGTCTTGAGTGAAATTAGGGGACTGGCAAAGGGGTACACCTGAAATACTTGGCAAGTACGCCTAGGAAAACAGTGCTCTTGGTCAAAATGGTAGACTGTTCAATTTAGTAATGTGTCATTTACATTTTTATTTGTTTCTTGAATAAAATAGTGTATAAATCTTATTTATTCAACTATTAATAATTTAAAAATTACTGATTGGTCTTAAAAATAAAGTTAGTATTATTTTCTCCTCTAGATCACAAAGGAGAACTCCCTCGAGGCTGGAACTGGGTTGATGTGGTGAAGGTATACAATACTTACATTCCAGTCTTCAAAAAATCGTGATGACTATTGCCATCGAATAATGAAATTTTTATTTTCCATTTTCTCCCCGTCCACCCCTGGATTTCGCTGGGATATCTGTTTCCTTTTTTGCACTCAGCATGTAAGTATTTATAACTACAATGAAGTATGACTGTTTATGTAAGTACATCTTAGAATGGACATGCTTAACTAGTACTCTGAAGGAGTGATGATATGGAAATCGAGGAAATAAGTCATGGAAAGAAATGCTTTGATTTCTTAGTAGAAATTAAGTATTTTATTTAGGTCAGACCCTAGTTGTAGTTTCTCATCATTATCAAGAAAGATTTTCTGTTTTTGTTGTTTAAAATTGTTTACTTTCCATTTTGAATTTTTCTGGTGACTACTCAGTATTTTCTGGATGAATTGTAGGTTCAAATGTATTAAACTGATACTTAACACAGTAAGTTCATTCTCTTTGTAGGACTGCATGAAGTGAGTTTTGCATGCCGATTAGCACCAGAACTGTCAGAAGTAATTAATATCCAACAGGAGTTTAAGATTAGGATTTTAGTGATGACCTGACCTACAAATATGGGTAATTTATAAGCAGTATATTCTTTTTTGGTTTTTAATCCTCACCTGAAGATACTTTTCCATTGATTTTTTTTAGATAGAGTGGAAGAGAGGGAGGAAGGGGGAGAGAGAGAGACAGACAGATGTGAGAGAGGTACATCGATTGGTTGCCTCCTGCACAACCTGGACAAGAGCTGGGGATCGAACCTGCAACCCAGCTACATGCCCTTGACCGGAAATCAAACCCACAACCCTTTGGTGCACGGGCCGATGCTCTATCCACCAAGCCAAACTGGCCAGGGCACAAGCAGTATTTTCTTTAAGTTTATTTTAAAGTCAGCTGTTTGGGCCATGGGATGCCTTTTCTATAAAAACTTTTTTAAATGATCTTTGTGATTCTAGAATCTAGTACAAAAATACTACCTGGGAGTAGGAAGTCATGAGCTACACTGAAAATAAACAGCCCTGACCAGTTTGGCTCAGTGGTAGAGCATCGGCCTGCAGACCAATGAGTCCTGGGTTCAATTCCAGCCAAGGCACATACCTCGGTTGCAGTTCGTCCCTGGCCCTGGTCAGGGTCATTCGTGAGGCAGCCAGTCTATGTGTCCCTCTCACGTCGATATTTCTCTCTCTACCTGAAGATAAAAAGAAAAATATCCTCAGGTGAGGATTAAAAAATAACAATAATAAATAAATAAATAAACAAACAAACAAATAATTTTCGAAAAGAAAATAAAGAAACAGAACTTCTCGCCTTCTTGGGCAAGAGGCTGACTGTCCCCAGGTTGTGTCTGTGGGGGAAGCTCCTCTGGTGTTCTCGCATCACTCCAGCCCCTGCCTGACGAATCTTCCTGTCGTCCCAGGTGTGCTCGTGAGCATCTCGCCAGCCAAGTCTGTTCTTTCCTTAAAATGCTCCATGCCCTGGCTGGTGTGGCTCAGTTGGAGCATGTCCTGTACACCAGAGGGTGGTGGGTTTGATTCCCGGTCAGGGCACATGCCTGGGCTGCAGGTTCAGTCCCAGGTTGAGCTGCATCTTTTCCACGCAGCAGATCCCTGCGGTGAGTGAGCAGAATAACCTGATCAACCTAAAGGCAAAGAGCTTCGCCTTCCCTAGCTCCAGAACTCTTGTGCGCTTTTAAGAGAGTCCTTGCTAATGCAAATTAGAATTTCAAGCTATAACAGAATGTAAAATTTAAATAATTCATCACTCTTGGGAGATGGGAGATGTTTTTAAAAAGGAGGTTACCACATTGACACGGTTTGGACTCAGAATTCCATCACCCCAAGCTAGTGGTGTCCAGGTGTGGCCACTGAGCCCCTGGGAGGTTCTGGAGACCTCAAAAGTGTCTGCATCACAACATTAAGGTGGTGTTTGCCCTTTTACTCAGCCTCATGGGTGTACGGTGGCGTTTACCAGGCGGCGTGGTGATGCCATCACTAATATTCTTCCGTTAGAGCACTGATAGAATGTACGTTTTTAGATGCTTGTGTTTTCCAGAATTTTCTAAGGTAGTATATGGGTTTGGGATCTATGTATGTGCATTTTTATTAACTCTGTTCTTAGGACTTGTACTGTGTTCGTATAGCTGTCTTCCGTTATACCTGCCTTATTCTGGAAACAGATTATTGAGAACCCAGCTGTCTTCTTTTGGGGGAGGTTTGCAGAAATGTAAATATGCTTTATTTTAGTTTGTTTTTAAAAATGTAGTGTTTCATTTAAAAAATATTGAGTTACAATGAGTTTATTGTTATTACATGAATTAAGTTTTTCTGTTTTAATTTCAAATGCAATAGGTATTAACCTAATTTAAAAAACCAAAAACTCTGGTATGCTCGGTATTTAAGAGTGAAAGAGGCCTTAGGGCCAAAATATTTGAGAACCACTGTCCTGAGGTTCTGCTTTTCACTGCTTCCCACTTTCTCTGGGGCTCTTGGAGTTTGGGTTCAATAGGAATTTTCTAGTCGCTGAGTCTTTATTCTAGTCCTAATTATTTTTGTATTCTTTGCTGATTTTATCTACCCACCTGCCACCCCCATTAAGCCAATCCAGGCTATAGATTTTTATCATTAAAAAAAAATTGCAATTTAAGATTTCTATCGCATTTTCATAATTGCACTTTAAGAATTGTCTGATTAATGCTTAGGGTGATGGGCACACGATGCAGTGTGCAGATGATGTTTTGTTGAGTTGTACTTTTGAAACCTGTATGGTTTTGTGAACCAATGTCACCCCAATAAATTTAATTTTTAAATTTTGTCTGATTAAGATGATAAACCTTACATTTTTTACCGAAGCAAATACTTTAGAAGTTAAAAAAGAAAGAACTTATTGTTTGTAATAGAAGACAAAAGTAGAAGGTAGCATTCATTTTATAAATGGCACCTTTTGTATATTCTTGGTTCCAGTTTACTGTTTTGGAAAGCTTTGGGGGATCCCCCACCCCTTTGTTCTGTTGGGGTTATTTTTGCAGAGAATCCCATTTTCAGTGTAATTAGATATGCTGACAGCTGGGGGCGGTTTAAGTTATCAAACCTTGTTGTCGCTTATTCTAGTAGCTGTCAATGTTTGCCTTTGACAGGAAGTAGAAAGAAGGAACTCAATGTGATAGCTTAAACTTGTTGACTGTTCCTCTTACCTCTCTTTGTAGTTGAGCAAAACTGGCTCGAAAGATGATGAATAGCGCTTGGAATTCGAAACACGGGAAGAGCGCCCTTTAACAAGTCAACTGGGCTCACAGTCCTCGCTCTGCTGGTATCGAGGTGGCTTTTTATAAAACGGTTTTTTTGTATGTTTCTTACGTAAAAATGTTTTAAGCTAAAAGTTCATGAGGAGATTTGGTTGTATTAAATTATTTTCACAAACTTGCCTTAAAATAAAAGGTGAAAATGTTACTGTTTAGTATACTTTGGAAGCCTTTTGAGCTTGTCACTGGACAAATACAGAGGATAATAAGTAATTGATGTTAATTTATATGATCTTCAGTGAATGTGATCATTTTTTTAAAAAGAAATATGAAGCCCTTTTCCAAAACTCCTGTCCCAGGGGAATAAGTACTGAGTGAACAATTATTCCTCAGCATGATCCATATTAATAGGCTTCTTGTCTTACTAAAGTGTTCATCTCTTCTTTCTCTTAATTACTGAGGCATAAATTGCGCCAGAGAAATTTAAATCCTGGTATTTGACCTTTACACATAATATTCTTTGTAGTCCTCCCCACCCAAGGATGAACTGCTTCTCTTTAATAAATGAATATTTGTTTATGCTTTTCTCTTGGTTTGGATCAGGAAGGCTTCCATGGTGTGTGGAATGGAGAATGTAAAAACGAATCTGCCAAATACATTAGAAAGCATCGGAATAGAAGTGCTGGTTCCTATTTAAAACATTTCTGTTTGTTGTATTACTGAGATGGGAGTAAAAGATGCCTTAATATTTAATTTTTGTATTGTTGGAGACAATGGTCTTAATAAATTTCTATTTATCTGCTATTGTATATCTTTAGTTGTTTGGTAACTGAGGTCTTCTAAATGATTTAACATAATGCCACATTTCATGTTTTGTTTCAAGTATTCAAATGTATTTCTTAGCCCGAGCATCTTTGTAATAATAGACAGAAGTATTTCAAATGCTGAACTGTAGTACATGCTTGATATTTTGTTTTGTTTTTTTAATGATTACTAGAGGAAGCTATTAGTTCCGTTTAACCAGGGAGTTGTTGATGTCTTGGTGTGATTTACAGTGATTCTGTTTCTGCTCCCCAGTTTTAAACCTGCTTTTTAGAACTACTGCTGTGGTGTCTGGAAGGGGAGGTTGTTGGTGCCTCAGTTACACCTGTGCAGCTTGGGTCTGAGTGTTAAAGAACAACCGAGTTTTAAAGACATTTTCTTAGCATAAGAGCAGTCTGACTGAGCTGTATGCTTGGTTTTTACTTGGTTGCATTGGCTTAGGTGAAATCATTGGAATTATAAAGTAAGTATAATTATGGTGAAGAAATTTAATCTCATTTTAAAAAGCTGAGTCGCATTTTATTTCTTGAAATAATATGATAGAGAGAAACATTAAAATTTAGGGCTACTGAAATATGCCAACTTTGGGGGCTGTGTGTACTTTTTGTTGTATTGATTTGCCTCTTTTTTGAAGAAACAAATTGCTATATCTGCTAGTGGAAGAAAACACTTTGCTTTGCTCTGAAGAGTCTGAAACTGTTCAGTCTTATTATGGTTCACAGATCACAAAGAATAATGCTAGTAAAATGCCAATGAATTGTTTTTACTCTTTTTATATGAAATGTACAAATTCCGGGAGGCGATGGTGGCAGCGATGCCTCTTACTACCTTTTGTGAAACACTTGAACATTCTCATCGATATTGCCATCACTGCGCAACACTCCCAAGTATATTTTCTCAAACTCTGTTTACTTAACATTGTATGGAAATGGCATAATTAATAAGCAATAAAATCTGAATTACACACAATGGTTTTTCTGCATTTTATTTCAAGTGACTTGAGGGAGAATTGTTGATTTTAATGAACCTACGTAGTCTTACGGGGCAAGGTGTGTACCCTCTTACTAGAAACTGTTCAAACTGTCGGATTAAAAAATATTTTTTAAATGAGCTGGCAAGAAGGTAAAGAGTACCCAGTCTGAAAAATTAAATGAAAGTTGGAACCTAAAGGTTAAGGACAACTTTTGTTTTCGAGCTGCAGGGGTCCCAGAAGACAGGAGGTCAGTCCAGGCTGGGTCCAGGGTAAGGGTCACACACACCGCCACCACCGTGCTGGGGGCTAACTGGCCTCCCGTGGGGACCCTGAGGAACCGTTTCTGTTTTGAACGTTGTTGCTTGATGGAGGGGTAAAATGTAAATATTACATACATGTACTCTCCTGACCACTTGTAACATGTTACCCCTCACTTGGGTTTCACCCCAAATTTCTCCCTGTGTGGGCCATCTGAGGGGGAAGACCTCAAGCCAGGATTTTAGTTTAAACTGGCACCAAGTAGGTAGAGCCTCTGGGCCATGTAGGTGTGACCACGGAGTAGCCCTAGAAGAACTGACTGGATCCGCAGTCGGAACCCGCAGTGCACGGGAGCGGGGCGCTGTGAGCCCCGCCCGGAAGACATTCAGAGGAGTGAGTGCCCCAGGGATAGGGACTCACTTACTCGGGAGAAACTGAGTAAGGAACAACAAACTATTAAAAGGATCAAATAGATTTGGAAAAGAACCAAATACAACTTCTCAAAATGAAGACTAAAGCAGTCGAAATTAGTTACAGATAAAGCATTGCTTGCAAAGCGTATAAACACCCCAGTGGGATGAAGTCAGCATTTGGACTTGCTCTTGTTTTGATCATCGCGTTAGCATCTCAGTCCTTCCACATCCTTTCTCCACAGGCCCCAATATTTGAGATTAGGTGGGTGATTGGAGCCTTCACAGAGCTCTGCTCAGCACTGCAGATGTGCCCCCCTGGACCTTGTGTGTTTTTGGTTATGTGACAGCGTAACAAGGAAGTGACGTATGTATGATCTAAAGTATTTGTCAGCCTGCAGTTTGTGATCCCTGTGTGAAGGGATCACTGAGGGACTTGACCAACATTTTTTTAGTGGAATGGAAGAGGAGATTGAAAAGAAAACAGTGTATCCTGCATGCTGTGAGGGTGTGTGTGTGTGTGTGTGTGTGTGTGTGATGTAAAATTGATTTCTTAGAGTGAGTAATGGTGAAAAGGGTTTGAAAGCCATTGATCAAAGCATACAAAAGATGGAACACATTTTTTTTTCCTTTATTGATTTTACAGAGAGAGGAAGTGAGAGGGAGAAATAGAAACATAGATGAGAGAGAACATCGATTGGCTGCTTCCTGCATGCCCCCCACCAGGGGTCGGGCCCACAACCTGGGCATGTGTCCTGACCAGGATTCGAACCAGCAACCTCTTGGTGCCTGGGTCGACGCTCAGCCACTGAGCCACATCAGCCAGGAACACATTTTATTTGAAGAACATTTTTTAAAATATGTTTTTACTGATTTTTTTAGAGAGAGGAAGGGAGAGAGAGACTTTTATCAGCTGCCTCCTGCACTCCCCCTACAGGATCGAGCCTGAAACCCCAGGCATGTGCCCTGACCGGGAATCGAACCAGGACCTCTCAGTCCATGGGGCGACGCTCCGTCCACTGAGCCACTCCAGCCGAGTTGAAGACCATTTTTTAAAAATACAGTATGTGCCGTTTGAAGTATCAGGAATCTTAATGGCTGGTTTTGCATTTTTCCTGAAGACCAGTTCAGTAAAGCTTCATTGCATAGTGTAACGGGAGAGGAGCAAGCATTTGCTTCTGAGTAGGGTCCTTTGGCATCTGTAATAACAAAAATCCTTGCCTGACAGGTTTTGCTTATTTGAAGAACTGAAGAGAACATATAAGAGTTAATGCCTGAATAAATAAGTAATTCTAATATCTTTAATTTCTTACTGAAAAGAACACAAAATATGAAAACTAGTCCAATTATCCCATCATTTCTAGAGGAATAATTATTGTCCTCCTGGGTGTCCTATAGACATCCAGTTCCCAAATTAAATTGTCATGCGCGTCAGATGTGGCAATGAAACATATTGTCACTGCCCATCTCTCCGTTCTCCTGGGGCGTCTGGGCAGCTTCGCGCGATGCCTCGGGCTTCTCAGGCCTGCAGGAGCTATCAGGCCCCTTCTGTGGCTTCCACAAAGGTTTGGCCTGTTGGGACACGGGCAATACTTGAAGGGACAGCCCCTCTCTGCGCGGTATTCTTCCTTTATTAACAAAAGAGACTCCGACTCATCAAAGGAGACTGTTTACAGGGAGAAAATATTTTTGCCTCATAATGAAGTGCTTAAAAGTTAACCGTGAAAGGTTGAATAGGGCAGTTTTTGAGTACAGAGAGGGACCCGGAGAAAGGTTCGCCTCCACTGTGGGGCTCCAGCAGACACGCCTTCCTGTGGGCGGACGAAGACCTCCCTTGGCCGCTCCAGGGCTTGGCTCCCCTGCTCCGCGCAAGGTGAACTGAACCCTTGTTTTCACAGAGGTAGTACGTTCTCGGAATGACTGCCACACCAGTGGGGAAGGAACATGCTAGGGCTTGGACCCTTGTATTTGGGTAATATAATCCTACTGAGGTTTCATTGGAAGCAGACATTTTATTAATAGCTACATTCTGTTGTTAATCCTCACCCGAGGATATTTTTCCATTGATTTTTTTTTAAAGATACAGTGGAAGGGAGGGGGAGAGAGGAGAAACGAGGTGAGAGAGACGCATTGATTGGTTGCCTCCCGCAGGACACTGACCAGGGCTGGGATTGAACCTGCAGCCCAGGTACTTGCCCTTGACCTTCAGTCATCAGGCCAATGCTATAACCACTGAGCAGCAAAACAGCCAGGGCTAGTGTCTATATTCTTTTTACTATCTACTTTGCATTCTTAAAACCACATTTTGTGTTTTGTTTTCATTTATTTTTTTTAGAGAGGAAGGGAGAGCGGAAGAGAGAAATATTGATGAGAGAAATATCAATCGGCTGCCTCCCGCATACCCCCCACTGGGGATCAAACCTGCAACTGGGGTATGTGCTCTGGCCAGGAATCAAACCGGCGACCTCTCGGTGCATGGAATGATGTTCAATCCACTGAGCCACACTGGCCAGGCTTAAAAATCACTTTTTAAAAATTCTACCCAATAGTATGATTTTTTCAAACATGAAAGTGAAAGGAATTAGAAACTGCTGAAACCATTTCCTTCGTTTCCTTCGCTGTTCTGTTGCTCTAAAGATCAGTAGATCTAGAATGTGTCAGTGTAGCATTGCCCTTGATAAATGCTGAATACACTAAATATTCCTTGCCTTCCAGAGGCTGCTCACAGACACTTTTAAGTTGATGTCAGTTACTTAGAATCTTGGAGAGAACTGAAAAATCATGGAGTTTGGCTATAACAGTGTCCAGCCATCTGCTCAAGAAAAACTCAACTCCCACTACATGCTGACAAATGCCTTCTGTTAAAAATTTCCCTTAGTTTTTCTCTCTTTCTTTTGTATGCCAACATTTTTAAATTCCTTATTAATTTTTTATTTTCATCAAAGTGGTACATATCCTTGGTCTTAGAATCAACTAGTCCTACAAGTCTTTACATATAAAAAGATCATTTTTCTCCCACACTTCTGCTGATTCCTTCTCCACAAAGGTAATGGCAACAATTTGTAGCTTTAAACTGGCCCACAAGACCTGGTGGGTGGTCTGCGCTGTCTGTGGCCTCAGCTCCTGACCCCACCACGTTCCTGCCTCCACCTGGGACTTTCCCTCCGATGGTCACAGGGCTCTCACCTTCAGATCTCACTGCAAGTGTTTTTCTTTCTTTGTAAGATGGAAAGCCTCTAACACCCCCCCCCCCCCCCCGCAGCTGTATTAAGATATAATTGACATAATAACACTGTGGTAAGTTTAACCTGAAAATCTGATGCTTATATCTTCTGGAATGATTCCCACACTATGACTAGTTAGCATCTCCATCACCTCACATGATTACTTTTTTGTGTGGTAAGAACATTTAGGATCTACTCTCAGCGAATTTCAAGTATATACTACATAGAGTTAAATCATATCCCAGAATTCACAGCTGGACGTTTGTACCCCCTGCCCCAGCAGCCATGCATCTACTTTCTGTTTCTGTGAATTTGGCTTTCTTAGATTCCACATATAGGTGAGATCATATAATAGGGGGGAGGGGAGGTTTACAGTTGTTCATATGGAAAATAATACAAGAGTAAATTCTGTTTTATGTACTCACAACTGTAAACCTACTTTTGCCCCAACGTGTATTTGCCTTTGACTTAACTTCACTCCGCATAAAGCCCGCAAGGTTCGTCCATGTTACAAGGGGCAGGACTTCTTTCTCATGGCTAAGTGGTATTGTTACACAGAGGCCTGGAGCAGAGTGAGGTGGTCTGACTTATGTTTGATGGCTTCTGTGTTGAGAATAGGCCGAAGCAAGAGGCGGAGCAGTCAGGAAGCTTCTGCAGAATCGCGAGTGAAAACTAACGAAGGCTTGAGCTAGGGCAGGTGGAAGACGGTGAGAAGTCACCGGTTTGGGGCATACACTGAGAACTGCTAACGGGATTTGCTGACGGACCAGACTTGGTGTGGGAGAGAGAGACATGCATCAAACAGTGTTGACCTGAGCAAGTGCAAAAAAAAATTGATAGAATGACATAGTCACCCTAAAATTTTCTATAAATGTAAGGCAATCCCCATGATTACAGCTGGGTTTTTATACAAAACCAAACAAAACTTATTTTGAAGTTCTTAAGGAAAACTAAGCATACTAGAATTGCTAGGGAAAAAAAAATATTGAAAAAGAAGGGTGATAAAATGAGATTACTTCTACATAATTCAAGTACAAGAATGAAAGTGATAAGGTGCTGGCATCCACTTCCATCGACCTGAATATGTATAGGAATTTGATATAT